TTTTAAAAATTCTTACAAAAATATTTGGATTATATATTATTTAAATATAGCATAAAACTAAATTCATTCTATTCTGCCTTTAAATTAAACTTAATTTTTTATGCCTTAAAAATAAATTTTTATATATGGCATAAATTATTTGCCATAGTGAATTTGGTGGGCCTTACAACTTATCTAATTTTAATTACAACAAATAAAAAAACACATAACTTACAAAATAACATATATATATATATATATATATATATATATATATATATATATATAAATAAAGGAGAGTTCACTGCAGGAAAGTTTTGCCAAGTGTCACTCCCTGGTTAATTCTACAATTTGGTTATATACAAACTTTCTGTATTGGAAAAAAAAACTCTTTTAAAAATTGAATTTTAATTTTTAAATCGAATAATAGTTGCAGACAAGGCATTGAATGTCCCACTGCCCATCACATTGGTATCAAAAAAAAATCAGCTGTTTTAATTGATTTTTATGTTGGAATTGGTCGTCTGATCTGAAATTTGAAATTTGAAATGGTTTAAAATTTTGAATTTAAATATGGATGGTGGAAAAAGATTTCTTTTAAAAATCGAATTTTAATTTTTAAATTGAATAATTAAATGATCGTTTGTGGTGGCAGATATAAAAGAATAATTAATTAATAAATATGATTTTGAAATTCAAAATTTTAATTGGATAATCAAGTGTTTTAATTGCTTTTTATGTTGGAATTGGTCGTCTGATCTGAAATTCAAAATTTGAAATGGTTTAAAATTTTGAATTTAAATATGAATGGTGGGAAAAGAAATTCTTTTAAAAATCGAATTTTAATCTTTAAATCGAATAATTAAATGACCATTTGTGGTGACAGACAAGACATTGAATGTCCCACTGCCCATCACATTGGTATCCAAAAAGAAATCAACTGATTTAATTATTTTTTATGTTGGAATGCGTCATCTGATCTAAAATTCGAAATTTGAAATGATTAAAAATTTTGAATTTAAATATGGATGGTAGGAAAAAAATTTCTTTTAAAAATCAAATTTTAATTTTTTAAATCGAATAATTTAATGACCATTTGTGGTGGCAGACAAGGCATTGAATGTCTCACTGCCCATCACATTGGTATTCAAAAAGAAATCAGCTGTTTTAATTGCTTTTTATGTTGGAATTGGTCATCTGATCTAAAATTCGAAATTTGAAATGGTTTAAAATTTTGAATTTAAATATGGATGGTGGGAAAAGAATTTCTTTTAAAAATCCAATTTTAATTTGTAAATCGAATAATTAAATGACCATTTGTGGTGGCAGACATAAAACAATAATTAATTAATAAATATGGTTTTAAAATTCGAAATTTTAAATGGATAATCAGGTGTTTTAATTGCTTTTTATGTTGGAATTGGTCATCTGATCTAAAATTCAAAATTTGAAATGGTTTAAAATTTTGAATTTAAATATGGATGGTGGGAAAAAAATTTCTTTTAAAAATCCAATTTTAATTTGTAAATCGAATAATTAAATGACCATTTGTGGTGGCAGACATAAAACAATAATTAATTAATAAATATGGTTTTAAAATTCGAAATTTTAATTGGATAATCAGGTGTTTTAATTGCTTTTTATGTTGGAATTTGTCGTCTGATCTGAAATTCAAAACTTGAAATGGTTTGAAATTTTGAATTTAAATATGGATGGTGGGAAAAGAATTTCTTTTCAAAATTGAATTTTAAAATTTAAATCGAATAATTAAATGACCATTTGTGGTGGCAGACATAAAAGAATAATTAATAAATAAATATGGTTTTGAAATTTGAAATTTTAATTGGATAATCAGGTGTTTTAATTGCTTTTTATGTTGGAATTGGTCGTCTGATCTGAATTTTGAAATTTGAAATGGTTTAAAATTTTAAATTTAAATATGGATGGTGGGAAAGGTTTTTCAGAGTCAAAGGTTTTTCATTGTAATTCTGAATTATTCATCTGCCTAAACTATATAATTCCCTTCAATAATTTTTTCTTTTCCAAATATTGTTTATGATTCATTTTGAACAGCAACAAATACTAATAGTGCATGGCGGACGATATTTTACAACTGTTGCGAGTATCGGTTGGGCATATTTCTTATTATATTGCTGTCAACATGACATTTATATTTTTTTAATGGAGATTTTGCTGTCAATCATGGAATTTACTGTGTTTAAATTATTATATTCTTTTTTTTGTTCCTACCTTAAAAGTTACACGTTTATGTTATACGAACAAACCGATTTTCTTATTAATTCGTTTACGGGGGACAAATAAACCGATTTTTTTTTCTCCGTGCATTGCACGAGTAATCAACTAGTAGATATAAAAAGAAAAGAAAAATTATGAATTCACGTGACTATTCATGATATTTTAATGTCAAATATGAATTTCATGACACAAATACATTTTACATGCATGAAATTTGCATGTATGAGCAATTTTTTCATACATGCATTGTTTTTATATATAGAATTTTGAAAATTCTAAACACTTCTCTCGTAAGATATGAAAGAGTTAAAACTTAAAAATAAAAATGAAGAATGTTTTAGAAATATGTTTTACACGATGTTATTTATTTTTTTACAAAAAAAAAACATTTTTTTGACTACAAATCCTTATTTTTATTAAATATAAATTTTATAGAATCATGTAAGGAAAACATAAGATTTTTATATAATGGAATTTACAATGCAATATTTGCGGTGGTCTCGGATGAACAAATACGTCAGAAATTGATGTTTGACAAGTAGTTTACTAAGATGACAATGTCGATAAATCTTTCGAAGAAAAGGAGACCCTAAGTTGCTTTTGTGCATCATACTACAACGATTGATAAATGGGTGGAACAAAAGTAAAAAAAAGGAAGGTCACTTTGTGTTGATTTTTTTTTTTAATTTTTAATTTTCTTTTTTGACATGTAAAAAAGGAATAAATTTTCTTCCTCTTATTAAATTGTTTCGTTCGGAATTAAACTTTGTTCGTATTTAAAGAAATAATAGGCTTGTTTGATTGTATTTTGATTTTTTTTTATTCTTAAAATTGTATTGTATAATAGTTAATGGGCAAAAAACTTAATTTATTATAAATTAAATAAAAAATTACAAACTTATTATTATTTTCAAATTATTTACAAGTGTAGTGTAGGATGTCACGTCCAAATTGGACGTGACTACTACACTCAGCACATTAGGCACGTGTGACCCCTGGCGCCTAAAAGAGGCGTAACAGAAACACCAGTCACACCTATAAAAGGCGTGACCTAGTTGAAAACCAGTCACGTCACTGTTATTTGAATAATTTATCCAATTGTGTACCAACACCCTCTTCAAAGTATTCACTTTGCTGGCGTGAGATACTCTCGTACGACCACTTGTCATTTCTACCCACAAACAATTTTTCCCATATATATATATTTTTTGGATAACAACAATGTATTGTCTTTATTCCAATGACATTACAATTTCTTTAACTTTTATGTCAGTGGCAATGTACCGTTACAAATTTTGAAATTACCTAAATTTGCCTTTAAATTTTAATTAATATATTAAGAGTTTTTTCTTTTCATTGTTTTCCATTAACTCGCAAACGAAATATATATGTCACATGTTATAAAAAAAAATAAAAAAATATATGTCACAAAACCTTGTTTGTCTATTATTAATTTTCGACAGTTGACTAATTTACTTTTAAAATTGATTTTTCCCTTGAGAATATCAATCTTATCAAAACAGGTCAAAAGTCTATTATAAATACTAATTTAGGTATATTTTGTATTTAACAGGAGTTGATTGCGATTTGTAATTAACAGGAGCTGATTGCGTTTTGTATTTAATAGGAGCTGATTACGTTTTGTATTTAATAGGAGCTGATTGCGTTTTGTATTTAGTATGAGCTGATTGTGTTTTGTATTTAATAATAGGAGATGATTCTGTTTTGTATTTAATAAGAGCTGATTGCGTTTTATTAAGAGTTGCCATTTTACGAGTTGATATCAATGCTTTCACGCTCTTTTGAGATATTTAATCGATTAAATATAAGTTTTAATCGATTAAATAAATTAAGAAGGAGATTTAATCGATTAACTTGAAGATTTAATCAATTAAATCTTCAAGTCAATCATTTTTTTTAATTTTGACCATTTAATTGATTAAATTTTCAAGTTAATCGATTAAAGAGGGACATATTGGTAGATAGTTATGAGTAACGAACAAAATGATTATTAATTAATTAATAAGGAGCAAAAGGGTCAAATAGCTTGTAGAGTTACAATGAGAAAATAATTATCATGAAATCTGACAAAATAAAAGCCATATATTAGTGGGATTTGTTTTTTTTTTTTTTTTTTGATATCAAGTGGGATTTGTTTTTCTACGTTGTATAAGAAAACAAATCCTTCATACACATTCCATAAAGAGACGTGTCACTCTTTTTTTAAATAAGTGAATCCCACATTTGATATATCTATGATATGAGATTAGGGCATGTTTGGTGCATAGTATAGGATAAGACCTGATAGTATAAGATCTGATTGTATAAGACCTGATTAAATTTTAATACTATCCAGCGTTTAGTATGATATTGTATAAGATAATATCCTCCAATATTTTAAAAAGTAATATATTAAAAAAATTTATTTTAATATATAAATATTGAAATGATATATTAGTTCTTGTAAATTGTACTTGTAAGCAATATTAATACATCAACTCCTTATCAGGCCTAATCCACCACTCCTAAGCCGGATTAAGTTATACATCATTTTGATATATAAAGGGGTCCTGCTGTATAAGCTTATACTATACAATGGTCACACAAAACAACTAAAAATATCATAACGTATAATATAAGCTTATATTATCGGACCTTATAGATCTCAGTAACGAGGCCCATATTTTCTTACATTATCAGGTTTATTTTTCCCTATATAAATACACAATAACAAAATATCCCAGAAAAAATCCAAGGACGCGTTAACCCCACTATTGCGTTCACCGCGCTTTCTCTCTCTTTTTTTCTCCCCTCTGTGCTGAGCTCACCCGCACCGTTGTCTCTCTCTATCTCTCCCCGAAGTCTTCCTCTTCTTCCTCTTCTCGTTTCTTTAACCTTTCAGATCCGATTTAGCCCCAACCTTCCATTCTCCCCTCTGATTTTTCCCTCCTTTTTATTTTGTTTTCGTTGTTGGGATCTAGGGCTTCTAATTCCTCGTTTTAATTGCAACGCTTCCGATTTTTTTTTCATCCGCTTTTCTGTTTCCTGCGTTTTAGGGTTCCAATTTCCTGTCCAATTCGATTCCCCATTATGGGTTGCCTCTGAATTCTCGATCCGTTCCTTTTTTCTTTCTTTCTTAAAATTGTGTTTTCTGGGGTTCGATTTATTTGAGGCTATTATTATTAGAAAAAAAAGAAAAATAAAAAAAGGTTCATTCTTTTGAATTTTTGGGTGGTGAGATCATGGGGAGCTCTGAAGGATTGGGAGCTTCGTCGAAACCTTCTCAGGCGCCGCCGAAACATTATGGTGTTACGAAGCCCATATCAATGGCTGGCCCGATGGTTGCTGATCTGCAAAGGACTCTGGAGTTAGAGAAGGTTTGCTTCATTGCTTTATATATATGTACACACACAAGGAGGAATAGGTTAATTTATTATCACTCTTATAATTTTATATCAAAATTTATTGATAGATTGTGGATTGAAAGATCTTACCAATATATCATGATTATTAAATATTACATTAGTCCAAAATTATTTAGTATTCTAATGATATTCAACTGACTATTGTTGTTCAATTTTTAGAAGATTTGACAAAAAATCTAAGTAACTAAAAGTCTATATTCTCAACACTGTTCATTTTTTACAAGATTTTACACAAAATCAAGGTAATAAATTTTCGACTATGTTCTTAACACTGTTCAATTTTTACAAGATTTGACACAAAGAATCAAGGTAATTGGTAGTTACGGAGTTAGTGAATGATAAGTCTTATACTATATTCTTAATATATACATGCGGTATGCCCTTTCGTTGTCAGCGGTTTATTAATTAACTTGACTGAAAAATTATTTGCTGGGTGTGCAAGTTTCTCGTTGATTCAGGGCTTTACGAGAGCAAAGAGGAAGCTGCCAAGAGAGAAGAGGTCCTTCACCGACTTGGACAGGTAGAAAGAGAGGAAGTTCTGTTTTGATTATTCTTCGTTATAATGACAGATTTTTTGGCATTGCTCAATCAATATAATTATTTGACGAAAACAGATTTTTTAAGATACCAATATTGAAGATGATGAAACTAAGAGTTGTATGGGTAAATATGGAACTATATGTTTTAATTGATCAGCATGGATGTTCATTTTTGGCATTGGGGGGAGCTTAGTCTCATTGCTATTGCATGCTGGTGATAATTATCCCTGGAGTGTTTAAATGCTTGGTTATTATTACTTATCATTTATGAAAGATATTTTGTTGCTTTATCCTGCTGGTAATATTTATTATTGTAGTGATTCAATATTTGCTATTTACCTTTTATCATTTGTTGAAGCTATTTTGTTACTTTATCCTGTTTTAGTATAACTTGGGGAAGTGATTTATTTTATCCCGGATCCATAGCCTTCAGGGTAATTGTCGTTGCTTATAATTTGTTTTCTTTATTTCAGGTAGTAAAAGGTTGGGTGAAGCAACTTACCCGCCTAAGAGGATACACTGATCAAATGGTGGAAGATGCCAATGCTCTCATATTCACTTTTGGTTCTTATCGGCTTGGTGTGAGTTTCCTTCTCTCCTTGCTTGACATGCTCTCCTTCATTTATTTATTTATTGTTGGTAAATTAAACAATGTACTTAATGGATCTTTCTCCACTGTTTTGTGAATATGATAATCTTGCCTAGTGTACAACGGAATGTATGGGGGCTTTTGATATCTTACCTCATTCAGAACAAGCATTCCCCAACAAACATTTACCAAACTTGGGTCCTTTGTGTCCTGGTTCCAAACTTAAACATAATAGAATTGAAACCAAGCACAATAGTATTTGTGGACGTTACAATGAATGCAAAAACCTCCCATGGTTGCCAGTTGTGCATAGATGACGGAAAGAGGGAGACAAGGTGCACCCAGTTGCAAATATGACAGAAAGCGGAGACAGAGTCCCTGGCTAATAAAATAAGATGAAAACCCAATTATACGAAACATTTAGTTTCATGTAGGTTCTTTCTTCTTTTTTTTTTTTTAATTTTTAATTTTTTTTTTAAATATAGCCTAAGGTAGAGAATTAATAGGGCTTTAGGATTTAATGTTTTAAATTTGGTCAGCACATTCACACTGTAGAAAAAACAACTTGGAGATTGAAGCTTACATTTAAGTTAGTGAGTCAAAAATATACTTCAAAAAATATGGAAAAAATAATAAAAAAAGATATTATGGGCCATGCTTAGTTTTCTAAAATGGAACAATTGGGCCTATTAATTTTTTTACCATGCAATAATAGTTTGAAGTTCATGCATAGTGATCCAATTTTAAATGAAATTCGATCCTAAATAGCAATTGGATGAAGTCTACCCGTCAGTTTCGTGTTCCGGAAAAAGTCCCGTACCACGGAAACCATATCATTAATCATTATCCATGTAACATTGTATTAAACTTTGTTTTTAGTCTTCAGTCAAGTTTTGCATGTAATTTGCTGCATCCGTTTTTTTATTTATGGATTAAATAAGCCTTTCTTCTTTGAATTTTTTATGACGCAGGTTCATGGTCCTGGGGCTGACTTAGACACTTTATGTATTGGGCCATCCTATGTGAACCGGGAGGTAGTTTGAGAATGCAAATAACTTTTGAATGTGTTCTTCATCAAAATCATTCTTAATTTTCATGTCTAATCTTACTTATTTCTTAATCAGGAGGATTTTTTCTACACTTTGCATGACATCCTAGCTAACATGGATGAAGTTACAGAACTGCAACCAGTTCCGGATGCTCATGTCCCAGTTATGAAATTTAAGTTTGATGGAATATCAATTGACCTACTATATGCAAGTATTTCTTGCTTAATTGTACCTGACGTAAGTGAAATAATTTTCATTTTCTACATATTCCTTATTCAAAAGATTCTTCTAGAAGAAGGATCCAAGCATACTTTTGTTCTAATCAATGTCTTTGCTTATTAGATTATGAATTTGGGCTATGCGAATTTTAGAATGGGCTTTTGATCCTTCATTTTATTTTGAAATGAATCTTTTACTGCTGAAACATGTTTGTAGATTTTCAGTATTGGTCTTAATGTACAGATTGAACACATGTGTTGTGGAATGCTACTGTTCAAATGTGCTTTATATTGTGTTGGTCTGGATGTTATTAGGAGGTCGAATTGTCAAAGAAGTTAGATTTTAATATTTTCTTTGTGCTGGTAACCTGTATCTTGAGGGTTCTTTCAGGTTTTGTGTGATATAGTTTGGAAACTGTTTTGTTTTCCCATTTATGAACAGGACTTGGATATATCTGATGTGTCTGTTCTGCACAATGTTGATGAGCCTACTGTTCGAAGTTTGAATGGATGCAGGGTTGCAGATCAAATTCTAAAGCTTGTTCCAAATGTTGAGGTAAATTTTTTGTGGGTTGTTTTTTATTGTGTTAAATCAACCATTTCTTATTATTTTTTGTGTCCCATAAATGTTTATATTCAACTGTTTTTTGTTTGGATTGTAGCACTTCCGAGCAACACTTCGATGCTTGAAGTTTTGGGCCAAAAGGCGAGGTGTTTATTCCAATGTGAGTGATATTTATTTTTTTCCCTCTTACTAATCATGTTAAGTCATTTGTTTGCTTTGAATCTCCACCAATATTGTTAATTGCTAGTTGTTTATACTTTATAAACATAACTGTTATTTTTTGTATTTTTATTTTCAGGTGACAGGATTTTTGGGTGGCGTTAACTTGGCACTTCTTGTAGCTCGAGTGTGCCAGTGGTATCCGAATGCAGTTCCAAGCATGCTTGTCTCTCGATTCTTTAGGGTGTATACACAGTGGCGGTGGCCTAATCCTGTCATGTTATGCCCAATAGAGGAGAATCAGCTTGGGTTTCCTGTGTGGGATCCTCGTAAAAATCCTCGTGACCGAACCCATCATATGCCGATAATTACTCCTGCCTATCCATGTATGAACTCTAGTTATAATGTTTGTACAAGCACACTTCGTGTTATGATGGAGCAGTTTCAATATGGCAACCGGATCTGTGGGGTAATGATTACTCTCCTTTTGAGTTTGCTGTAAATATTTTCGATACTAATACCTCTTTGCTACAAATAATTTATGCCTTTGCTTTTGTGGAACAAATCCAGGAAATAGAACTGAATAAAGTCTGTTGGAGTGCTTTGTTTGAGCCATACATTTTCTTTGAAAGCTACAAAAACTACTTGCAAGTTGACATAGTTGCTGCTGATGTTGATGACTTGCGCGCTTGGAAAGGTTGGGTGGAATCACGCCTTCGGCAGCTGACTTTGATGGTATGCTCTTTTATTTATTGTTGTGAATTTAGGATAAGTTTGAAGGTTGTTACATTATTCAATTTGCAAGGTTGGATATCAACTTGATTTTTTAGTCTCATTGATTGGATTTGGATTCTGTGGTCAGATTGAGCGTAACACTTTTGGGAAGTTGCAGTGCCATCCCAATCCTATTGAGTATATGGATACTTCAAGGCGTTGTGCACACTGTGCTTTCTTCATGGGCTTGCAGAGGAAGCAGGGGGATATTGCTCAAGAAGGCCAGCAATTTGATATACGAGGGGCTGTGGAAGAATTTAGGCATTCTGTTAATAGGTACATCTTTTGGAAACCGGGGATGCACATTTATGTTTCTCATGTCCGTAGAAGGCAAATCCCATGCTATGTGTTTCCTGGTGGTTATAAACGATCTCGACCATTGAGGCCTACAACGCAACTGGAGAATCCTCATAAATCATTTCATGAAGATGAGGTTTCTCGGACTGAACATCGTGAGAGAAATAATAAGAGGAAGTACCATGACAAGGTGGGTGTGAAGCAGGATGTTGCACTGAAAAAGCAATGTACCAGTCCTCCTGTGGATACCTTGGCAAGACGCAACTTATGCCTGGATTCTGGTGGTTTGTCTGTTGATTCTGTGTCTAATAGTCAAGAGTCGCGAAATGTGGAGAGCATTCGTTTGTCAACCAGTGGGCAAGATGCGCAACTGGAGAATCCTCATAAATCATTTCATGAAGATGAGGTTTCTCAGACTGAACATAGTGAGAGAAATAATAATAGGAAGTACCATGACGAGGTGGGTGTGAAGCAGGATGTTGCACTGAAAAAGCAATGTACCAGTCCTCCTGTGGATAGCTTGGCAAGACGCAACTTATGCCTGGATTCTGGTGATTTGTCTGTTGATTCTGTGTCTAATAGTCAAGAGTTGCGAAATGTGGAGAGCATTCGTTTGTCAACCAGTGGGCAAGATGCGGAACTGGAGAATCCTCATAAATCATTTCATGAAGATGAGGTTTCTCGGACTGAACATAGTGAGAGAAATAATAAGAGGAAGTACCATGACGAGGTGGCTGTGAAGCAGGATGTTGCACTGAAAAAACAATGTACCAGTCCTCCTGTGGATAGCTTGGCAAGACACAACTTATGCCTGGATTCTGGTGGTTTGTCTGTTGATTCTGTGTCTAATAGTCAAGAGTTGCGAAATGTGGAGAGCATTCGTTTGTCAACCAGTGGGCAAGATGAGTTGGATAGAACTGAGTCTCCTGAACCTGAACCTGAATGTGCCTCGAATTCTAGTGGGATTACATCTGTTACAAGTGATGGTGGTTCTCCTGAAGATGTTGGATCTGTATCAGTGACAGCTTATGTTGAGGATAGCACTTGTGGGACAGATTCTGTCACCCTTGTGGAAAATACGGTGGCACATGGAAATGAAGTATTACAATATGAGCTACAGGAACAGTTGGAGGTTTTGGCTTTTAATTCCTTTCCAAACTCTAATTTTCCTTTTACTTCTTTGCACATCTACTGTTATATTGTTCCAATTAATTTTTTTTTCTTTGGTTAGCTTGTTATGGACAATGTTGTATATTGACCAATTTACCTGTCTTTTTTGTTTTCTGGGGTTTATTGTGAAGCCAAACGCAATGCTAGGGATGGTTCTTAATTCCAAGGGACGAGGTCACTCAGAAGCTGTGCAGAAGCCGGTGATAAGGCATGTTCAATGTTTAATAATTATTGCTTTTGCATCTTGTCTGTCTGTATTTTGTCTTTATACTGTTTCTTGTGCTTTGATATTTCACAGGAGATTGAGTCTAGCATCGACAGTGTGAGAGATCTGTGTGTAGGATTAGATGGCAATGTTTTTAAATGAACATATTGTGCAGTGGAGAAAGCCAGCAATTCCGGTAAGTACTAATTTAAATGGCTGGCTTTCATTTCGCTAATCTTTTCAGGCTTGCTTGTTCCTCGACTGGCATATTAATCTGAAGAGCTGTGGCTGGAACTTATGTCATTTGTACAGTTGGTAATTTTTGTGCATTGTGGTGTCCATGATCACTCCAAACTAACTTCATTGGAGTATGTTAGAATTCTCCCTAAACTTAGTAGGCATACTTTAAAGGCTTTGGTTGTGCTTTGCTTTTTACTTTTTAGAGATAGTGAGAGAGAGAGAGAGAGATGAGGGTGTTGGCTAGTGTAGTTGAGCCCTATAATGAATTTTTGTACTGCCTCCAAGAGGTTTGCATATGAACTTGGCAATGATATGCTACTATCTCAACCTTATCTATATTTCTTGCTTTGTCCTAGCATACTGTTTTATACTAATCTTGGCCTGCTGAACAATTAGACAATATTCCAGTTAAACATGTTCCAGTGATTGGTTATTTACGTGGTTGATACATGCAAACTAAACTGGACTTGCTTGTAGTGGAAGAAATTTGCGCAAATCATCACATTTTCAATCCCATACGTGAATTTTGTGATGTTTCTCACTCACTTATTTTGTTTTTTTAAATCGATTATAACTTTTTAAAGTAAGATGATGGCTTTGTTGGTTACTGCTTTAAATGAAATAAGAATAATATATTAACAAAAAATATATATAAATTTGCCATATTTTATATAGGGAAAGTTATACTTATTATTATTTTTTACTATATTTTATTATTAAATTTTAATTGTTGATTTTCGTTAATTTAATAGTTATAATTTATTGAGTCATATTTATTAATAATGATTAACAAAAATTATGGAAAAAATATTTTTCAGTCACTGGAAATAAAGTTATTTTCAGTGAGTCTAAAACATTGTTGTTTTGTAGTTGTAAGCTTAAAAAATTATAATAATAAAAATTAATATAATCTTATAATAAATTAAAATTATAAAAATACTTTGATTCTTGCGTAAAATATTATTTTTGGTTTACCATAAATAATTTATCTTGGAGAAATCCTTTATACCAACTTTTTCAAGTGTTTTTGTATTGTCGCACCCGCACCATTTCCTAGAATAAAATCTTATTTGTTTCCAAAGGGAATTCGTGTTCGGTAGTAAGATCTGATATACTTTTTTTTAATGACCTTACCTAAATCCTTTCACGTATTGATGCTTTTAATGAAGTCACCTAAATATCTGTAATGTATATTTATTTTTGTGCAGAGATACAATAGTATAATACTATTTTGCAGCAGATATCCATCATTCTAATCTAAATCAAATCCACTCGTTCAGCGAACTGGTATATTGAAATAGGAATGGTGACCCTTTTGTCACGTTTTCCAAAATTTTTTTACCCAATTGACACATGAATAATAATATGTTTTCAAAGTGCTATGAATAATAAAATTTGTTACACTAGTGGCAGAATTTTGTTTATTGAGTTGCACTCTTTTGGTATCTAGTTTACTACTGTTAATAGTGAATTACGTGATAAAAAAATATCAGTCTATTCTGAATAATTTTAAGACATTTGAGAAATTCTGCACAAGTTTCGCTATCATACACAGCGAACTAAGTCCAACACTTTTTTCCTTTTTCTATCCTATATCAGCCATGCTCCCCTTTTAAGCGAGTCACATGATCCAGCAGTAGTAACCAGAATCAGTACCTGTTAGCTCTATGGATAGGAGCTTATTATTTATTAGCCACTGCCCTTAACCATTGGTCTATAGGTTCCCACCTGCCCACCTATTTTAGCTTGTCTATAATCTTTTAGGATTCACTAATATTATATGGATTTTGTTAGTCTCATTTAACATAATATAGTTATCTTATATTGTAGAGAAAAAATAGGTAGGTCTCATCATTAAAAAAGAAAAAAAAGAAAAAGAGGTATACAAAAATTGAAGTAAGAGAAAATGAGAGATGATATCTCATGTGCAAGGTGAATAATATTTTCCATATTATATATATCTCAATATTTTTGCTTTTATTAATGAAAAGATTGATTTAAAAATATTTGTCTTTTAGGTTTTGTTCATTTTTAATATAATTTTTTTTCAACTAAAATTTTACACTTATTATTATGTATTAAATAATCTCCGTCGTTGTAAGATTGTCGACTCATTAATAGAATATGAGTGTTTTTTTAAAATAAAAAATATTAAATTAATAAGTGTTGATAGCGAACTTTTTTATTAATATTATTAATTTAAATATTTATTTAATATTTTAAAATAAAAAATAAAGATGAATCTTTTGAGTATTTACAAAAAAATTTACAGAACAATTTACAAAAAACACATAAACAATACTTATTGCCCAAAAAATCACTCATATTCAGTTAATGAGTTGACAATCTTACAATGATGGAGATTATTTATTACATAATAATAAGTGTAAAAATTTAGTTGAAAAAATTATATTAAAAATGAACAAAACCTAAAAGACATATATTTTCTCATTAATAAAAGAAAAAATATTGAGATATATATAATATTATTGGATCCTAAAAGGTTATAGACAAGCAGAAATAGTTAGTAACCTATAGACCAACGGTTAAGGGTAGTAGCTAATAAGTAATAAGCTCCTATCCATAGAGTTAGCATAGGCACTGATTCTGGCCACTACTACTAGATCAAGTGACTCACATCAAAGGGAGCATGATTGATATAGGATAAAAAAAAAGTGTTAGAATTACTTCGCTGTATAGGATAGCAAATTTGTTTATCGTTGTATTTTAAATGTCTCTCACGTATCCTAAAAGTGTTCAGAATAGACAGACATTTTTTATCACGTAGTTTGCTATTATTAATAGCAAACTAGGTACTAGAAGAGTGCTACATCAGTAAACAAAGTTTGTTATTTGTTGTAGCGAATTTGTATGCTTGATATTTTGAAAAAACTTATTGTTCACATTACAGTTGAGTAATTTTTTTTTAAAAACATGACAAAAGGGTGACTGTTCTTCGAAATAGACACACAAAATGCACGGAGTACAATCTTATTTTTAAAATAGGATTAAATATCCTTAGGAACATCAACAAAAGTCCCATTAGTGGTAAAATGAAATTAATAACGTAAATTTCAAAACAAGTTATCCAATGTAGATTTGATTTTTTCTTCTTCAAAATAATACAACATGTTGTGTATGGAGGGAAGTGCAACCAGTTGCGTCGTAGTTAGGTGAATTGCGCACACTCTATGCGCAACTAATTAGATTGTATCATGAGATTCATGACAAAACATTGGGGTTTTATATTTAAAAACCTGAAATTTATTGTAATCAATTACAATTTAATAAATGATTCTTTTTCCATTTTTGGTTAAATAATTCAGATTGTTTTCGACAAAAATGAAAAAAATAGTTATGAAATCATAAAATTATCATCAATCATAATTTAATAGCTGATTTTTTTTCTTGATTAAATAATTCAAATTGTTGTTTAGTCAATATTTGAATTTCTTTAACAGAAATAAAAAAAATTATAATCAAATCAATATTAATGATGATAGATTTGTGATCATCAATAACAATTTGATAATTAATTTTTTTAAGAAAATAATTCCTATTTTTTTATGAAAATAATTCCTATTTTTTTATGAAAATAAAAAAATAATTATCAAATCGTAATTGATGATAATAAATTATTACAAAATATTATCATCAATCACGTTTTGATAATTGAATTTTTTTTCAATTTTTAGGAAAATACTTTAGATTGTTTTGATGAAAATGAAAAAAAAAAAATATGAAATCGTAATTAATGGCAATAAATTTATTATCTTCAATGTTCTTATTTTTTTAATTTTTAGCAAAATAATTCAATTTTTTGTTTAATCAATATTTAAATTCTTTTCTCTAAAAAATTAAAAAAATAAATTATCAAATCAAAATTAATAAGAATAAATTTATTATAATCAATAACGAGTTGACAAAAGAATTTTTTTATTATGAAAAAAATAATTTAAATTATTATATTAAGTTTAATATCTTAAAAATTATAAGAATTTTTAAAATCACATTGAAAATTTATTTATTATTTTAAATACTTTTCAAAAAATAATAATTTCAAATACGTATTAATTGAATAAATAATAGGAAAAGTATTTCTTCAGGAGATAAAGTTATTTCCAGTGAACTTAAAACGGCATTATTTTGTGTTGTAAGATTAAAAAATTATAATTACAAAGACTAATAAAACCTTGTAATAAATGATAATTATATCACTACTTTGATTTTTATCACAAAACGATATCGTTTTAGGATCATCGGAGATAATTTATCTCGAAGAAATTCTTTATCTATAAATAATTTTTAAATTTATATTAAGGGCAATGTTTTTCTCATGTTATTGGAGAGGAGGAAATCTCCAACACACTCAAATATATGGTGGGGCCGACACATAAAAAATAAAGAAAACAAAAAAATTTATTGCACGCAAAATGAACTTTCACTAACATGAGAAGAGAACTCTCCTACAACATAATTTTTTTTTTCCCTTATATTAATTACCTAATTTTGATTCACATTAGTTTTTACTTACATTACAGGCTACAGCTGCCGAAGGTAAAAGTGAAAATCAATTCTAACATAACATAAGGAGACAAAGGAAGAGGTTCGTGTGCCGAGTGCGGACAATGTTATTGTCTTTCCTCCAAACCAAATTTATTGTCATTGTCTTTCCTCCAAACCAAATTTAACGTTTACACGTGTAAGACCCACAATCATTTCAAAATAATAATTAATTAATTAATTATTTATTTTCAGTAAATAATAATTAATTAATTATTACATTAAATTCGTTTGTCCATTTCCTAATTAACCGCGATATTCAAAATCTCAGATTTAAATTAATTTCATTTCAAAATATTCTTTAATTTTATTTTTTGTGTTTATATAGAGGGAAAATATTTTTTCGTGTTATTGAATATATCTTGTCTGGTGTCACAGAAATATTCACTTTTTATAAAAAAAAATAACCACGTGTTTATATCTCAAATGAGATAAGACTTTAGCAACACGAGGTTATTAACTCTCTTATATACATCTCTCTCTGTATATATATAAATAAACATAAAAACGTGAGAAAAACAAGACACTTGGTAAATTTGGATTGTTGTGTATAAGAATTTAATCACGTAAACAGAGGATGGGGAAGGTGGTGGTGGCTGCGACGGTGATCGGCGCCGCGACGGCGTGCGCGGTGGCTGCGCTGGTGGTGCAGAGGTATATGAAGAAATCGAGACGGTGGGGAAAAGCAATGTCGATATTGAAGGAGTTGGAGGAGAAATGTGCGACACCCGCATGGAAGCTGAATCAGGTTGCGGATGCAATGACGGTGGAGATGCATGCGGGTCTTGCTTCTGAAGGTGGTAGCAAGCTCAAGATGCTCATCACTTACGTTGATAATCTTCCAACTGGGTATTGCATTTTTCAATTCTCTTTCCTTGATCTTGCATTTGATCCAATCCACCTTGATCTTATGGACTTAATACATTTGTTTTTTTTTTTTTTTTTTTTTAATTTGATTGATTTCAGTTTATTTGGGTTGTTGTCCTAAAACAAATCTAAATCCATTTCCAATATCAAAATTTCATTTTTCTTGGTTAATTGTTGTTGGGGTGGTAGATTTATTTTGTTTGTTCATAACTACGTTTTTGGTTGATGGATTTTGAGGCTCGGATGATTCTCTAGCTATTCCATCTCATTGATTATTCAAATGCAATCTCTATAATAGAGGGAAGTTGTATTTTGCATTGGTCACTCATGTTATGGTGTGTGATTGATTATATCAAAGGATATGCCTTTGTCTTACTAAAATAGGTTGGTCGGAATCTCTATGAGCATACTGAATCTATCCTTTATTTTTGTGTGTGTGCTGTTTCACTTTTTGTAGTAGCACAATTCAAGAATGCTATAAAATTGCAAAGCAACAACAATTATAGCGAATAAGGTGTAATTGTTTTTCTTTAGCCAGGTTTTAGATACAGAATCACATGAATTCATATTTATGGGGTTTATTGCTTATTCTCTGAAAATTGCTGTGCAAGGGCATTATGTCAGTAACATTTCATATTTCAACAGCTAAAGTTTTCTGAAGTCAATGTACTTTTTCTTTCCTTATATGTGTTTTTGAACGTTTTGAAATCATAGAGATGGTGAACAAATATTTTACTGTCTGGTCCCTCTTATGCTTTCCTCCCTTTTTCATAGGAAAGAGGAAGGACTATTTTATGCACTGGACCTTGGAGGGACTAATTTTCGCGTTTTACGTGTGCAACTGGGAGGCAAGGATGGTGGTATTGTTAGTCAGGAATTTACTGAGGTGTCAATTCCTTCTAATTTAATGGTTGGGTCATCAAATGTAAGTCCTTTTTTTCCCTATCAACATCAATTTCCTCTTTTTGCCTCACAATTGTTGTTCACTATTTTTCCTAACAATGCTTAATTGCTTGATGCAAGCCGTATGAGAAATATGATCAATCTAAAAAAATTGTGATTCAGGCACTCTTTGACTTCGTTGCAGCAGAACTTGCAAAATTTGTTGCCCAAGAAAGTCAGGATTTTCAAGTTCCTCCTGGTAGACAGAGGGAGCTAGGTTTTACCTTTTCCTTTCCTGTCATGCAAACGTCAATTGCTTCTGGGAACCTTATCAAGTGGACGAAAGGCTTCAACATTGATGATACAGTTATTCCTGAATCCTGATTGCTTTGATGTCTTCTACATTCTTTCAGATTGATTATCTCCTTGTCTGTGGATTATAGCACTTCAGAGATATAAATTACTGATGATTAATTCCTGCATCTCCAATTACAAACCCTAACGTTGAATTTTTAATTGCATCACAACTTAATAAGAGGATATGTTCATGAGATCCCAACATTTATTTTCGTGTTAATTTAAATATCACAAATATAAATTGTTAGCTCATTTATCTAAATTTGTCAGTAATCAGTATGATAACTTTTTCATTTATCTTCTGTATCTCTTTATATTTTCGCAGACAGCATAGATGATTCCGCTAAACTGGTTTATATGGAAGTAGCTTAGACTTGGTGCAGATAGTCATTAATAGCTTTAAGTTCTTATATATTTACTTGTTACTACTATTGCAACTATTAATTTTGGAGAATTATGGGTTTATACTCTAGAAACTGCTTTTCTATTGCCTTTGTATTTATACATAGTTTCATTGTTGTTCAAATAGGTTGGCCGGGATGTTGTGGCAGAATTGACAAAAGCCATTGAGAGACAAGGTCTTGATTTGCATATAACAGCACTGGTAATTAAAGTTTTTGATTCTTTTGCATGACATAAAATGATAAGACTTTTAAATCTTCTGGAGTTTTTGATAGATCTCAAGGCAGATGACTTTTCATGGTATTATGTTTTTGATCTGTAAAGTCTGTACTTATATTATATCTACACTAGGTCAATGATACAGTTGGGACATTAGCAGGAGGTCGATACACAAACAACGATGTTATTGCTGCCGTAATTTTAGGTACTGGTACAAATGCAGCTTACGTGGAGCGTGCTCAAGCAATACCAAAATGGCATGGTCTTTTGCCCAAATCTGGAGAAATGGTGAGCAATTCCTATCTTACTTTCCTTTGGCTGAGTGTGTAGTCTACAATGGCTACAGATTATATTTTATGTATGGTAGAATAAATATTGAAGCTTCTCTGAATGTGTGATATGACTGTAGGTTATCAACATGGAGTGGGGAAACTTCCGGTCTTCACACCTTCCACTAACTGAGTATGATTATGCATTAGATGCCGAGAGTTTAAACCCTGGCGAGCAGGTGAGTTTGTGTTACTTCTAAGTACCATCTTATCTGCCTTAAATAATGAGGTTATATAATTTTTTTTCCTGAAAATTTCAACCATACTTCAGATTTTTGAGAAGATAATTTCTGGCATGTACTTGGGAGATATTGTTCGTAGAGTACTATGCAAAATGGCTGAAGAAGCTTGCTTTTTTGGGGACACTGTTCCTCCAAAATTGAAAGTAACATTCGTATTAAGGTACAATGCTAGGCTTTTGACTAGCCACTCTGTTATTGTGATCTTGTTTATTCATTATTTTTCTATCTGTTTTATCACTATCTCCCCCCACCCCTCCCACCCCCTGAAAATCATTTTTCAAAATTGCTGTTTATGTCAGCAGTTGAATTTGAACAAAAACTTGCTTGGTTGATTGCTTCATAGTTCACTATGAAGTTGAATGTTGTGTTTACAATTATAAGTCCATTAATTTGTACATGGGTTGCTTCCCCTTTATGCTTCTATATAGATATGATTCTCTGGTTCCAAAGAACATGAAAAAGAAAGAAAAACAAGCAAAAAGACAAATATAGAGGAAAAACATTTTTATCGTCGCATTATTTATTCTGTCTGAAATAGCTGTCTTTGGGGTAAACATTTTACATTGAAGCAAAGAAGTCTGACCTCTCTTTGGAAGAGGGTAGTACTCTTTTGCTCTGTTCTACTGCCTTTAGAAGGATCCTTTTGGCTGTTGTCCTCTCTTAAAGAAATAGGTTATGTGGTAAAGGGGAGAGCTTTGCAAGGAATCATAAATCTGATAAGGTTTTCATAGCCATCATAATGAAAAATAGGGGGCGGGGTCGAATTTTTTACATTGCCACTCAGTGACTTGCATGTGGAGTAGGATTCTTGGTTGTTTGTTGGTGAATCTTCACTCTTCAATGTGTCCTTAGAATTTGAAACACTTTCTGTTAATCTAGTTGGGAGGTTTTGGCAGGGGACAGTATGGAAAAGTTTTATGGCTATATGTTTTAGATGCAGTTCTTTGGTGTCTCTGGTTGTCCTTTAAGTTAACTGGCCAGGAGACAAGATAGTAGATGGTGAAAACTTTTGAGTATTCAATAGTTAGTCCTTCAGAAATACTTAATGTTTTTTTTTTGGATAGTGAAATACTTAATGTTTTAATACTGCTCACACTGGCTCATGATTTCATAATAATCTTAAATTCCAAGATTGCTGTGCTTCTTATAATTACTGGTATTATCATCGAAAAATTTATATCATGTCCGTCAGCATTGGATGTGCAGGACACCGGATATTTCTGCAATGCATCATGACTCGTCTGCTGATCTCAGTGTGGTTGGAAGCAAACTGAAGAAAATTTTCGAGGTATATAAAATTTCTCTATTCTATTTGGATAAAGATGTAAAGAACCTTGGAATACACCACCCCAAAAGCTAGCTCAAAGGGTAGGAGTGCCCAAGGCCTTATAAACTCCACATTAATTGGACATACAACCAATGTGGGACTATATATCTCAACACGCCCCCTCACACAAGAGCCCATTGGGCTTGAAGAGTGGACAATGCAACAGGCCCAGCCTACCTGTGCTAAGAAATTCCACAGGAGAAAGTGGAGGACAGTGAGGTTTGAACCTGGGATACGAGGCTCTGATACCATGTAAAGAACCTTGGGATACACCACCCCAAAAGCTAGCTCAAAGGGTAGGAGTGCCCAAGGCCTTATAAATTCCACATTAGTTGGACATACAACTAATGTGGGACTATATATCTCAACAAAAGATATACCCGGAAGGGTTTTTATAGCATGTGTATAATTATAATTATATGTTTTGAAAGCTATTTCAAGTGACAGTGTTATAGAGATGTTCTCTATGTGCTTACAATTCGAGTCCAAGCTTGACATATCAATTACCTTCAATGTTCTAGTTATTTAAACTTGTGATTCATGTTGAGAATTCCAACTTCTAAAGGTTGCACTTGCACTGGCATTTAAACTTATATAAACTTAACTTATGTCCTCCTTTCCAACACTAGATATCTGATACCTCACTGGAAGTGAGGAAAGTGGTTGTTGAGCTCTGCAATATTGTTGCTACCCGTGGTGCTCGTCTTTCTGCTGCTGGCATCTTAGGTATCCTGAAGAAGTTGGGAAAAGACACCGTCAGTGATGGTAATGAGGGTCAGAAGAGTGTGATAGCCATGGATGGTGGATTGTATGAGCATTACACCGAGTATAGCAAGTGCCTAGAGAATACCCTTAAAGAATTGCTTGGTGAAGAAGTCTCAGAAAATATCATCATTGAGCACTCCAATGATGGTTCAGGAATTGGTGCTGCCCTTCTTGCTGCTTCTCATTCCCAGTATCTTCAAGGCTAATAATAATGATCTTGATATTGGGGTTTGTATCAATTATTTTTTGTGGTCGTCATTTTTCATTTTTGACCACAGCAGTCTTGGGAGGGTTGACTTTTACACACATTCTTAAAGCCAATTTTTGCATTATTTGCTTGACATCATTTCTTCACTTCATATATTTAATTCATTCTGGAAAGTTTATGCAATTTTCCCTTACCGTGTTAGACTTAACATCATATTTCACGCCACCTGAATCTACATTTTTTTTAGGATAGGATATCTTTCGTGCCTCAATTATTGGATTAGGTACTTGCTAGTGATAGGACAACAGTGAGTTGTTGGATCAAAAAGTGCAAAATTAGGACTTGGAAGCCGCTAAGTGACACACTGGTTTCTTGTGGTACATTAGATGACCCATTTAGGCCTGACCTAGTAGGGTCTGCGATTCGACTTAGATCAGGTTAGATTTGGCCTATTATTATATACAGTCAAATATAAAAGGTTCGGGCTAAAAGAAATATATTTAGAAAATAAGTCATAGGATTTCTTTTATATGCTAGATTTATAAGCCTACAGTCTAGTTTATATCATATTATTTATTTTAAATTAAATAAATAAATTATTATTTTAAAAATTTCAAATAATAAAATAATATTATTTTTATTATTGAATGTTTAAATAGACTAACAAGTCTAGGTCAAGATTTTTGTTTTTTAAATATGGGGAAGGATATTGTGACAACTAAGTTGTGTTACTACCAAGTGACTACCAATCAATCTTACCGTTAGATCGATTATGTTGATCTAACGGTTATATTTATTTCCATCTTTGTATGGTCATGATTCTCCAAATTTAATACTTTTTATTTATTTTCACCTTTGTATGGTTATGATTTTTCATATTTAATGCTTTCACTTTAAATATAGGGAATCATGACCATATAAAGATGGAAATAAATATAACCGTTGGATCAACATAATTGATCTAACGGTGAGATTGATTGGTAGTCACTTGGTAGTAACACAATTTGGTTGTCACAATATTCTTCTCCTTTAAATATAGGCAATATCAGATTTATAATTGGGGCTTATACAAAGTTAACAGACCAAATCAGATCTAAATTATTTTATACAGACTTAAGCTACTTAAGCGAAAGACGAAAGCCAAATCTAATCCGATGTATTTACACCCTAGCCTTAGATGCCATTTGGGGAACTAGGCACCGCACTATGATATTTCTCCTCGACGCATTTGCAGGGTTTGTGGAGGTTATTTTTTGGCCTTGAAAAAAGTTTTTCTTTTTCTTTTTTTTAAAAGTGAATGCATATTTTTTTTTTGGTAATCTAAAGTGAATGTCTTTAAAGTGTATATGTAAAAGTATATATCATTAATTTAATTTATAGTACATTATAATCTTAAAATATTAAAATTGTGAGGTGGATATCACTTTGCTTATCAAGGGTTTTGTTCAATTCAATTTTTTTAAAAATGACTCATAAGTGTATCCCAAAAAAAAGTTTTCTTTTTCAGTTTATATAACTCTTAAAAGTAAATAATAACACAAACTAACCTAGAATATAATTTTTTATTATTTGATATTTAAATTTAAATAGTGTTAAATTTAAATAAGATTATCTCCATCTCACACTCGCTATTCGAGTTTAACGGATAGTGGTTTTAGTGTTATTATTCATTTCATAAAATTATATCAAATTGAAGTGATTTATTTCATAAATTATACCTTCTTTCATTTTTCCTTTTATTTTCATTAATGTATTGAATTGTATTCGCAAAATTAATTTTTTAAATTTTTTTAAGAAAAAAGAGAGAGTGACTCCTGGTTCAGCTATTATGATCAGATTACAGATTTGAGAGTTGCCCTTCTTTTTATCGTAAATAATAAAGAAAAACTCTTTTAACATTTTTTGGGGTCCAATTCATATGACACGTCTAATGATATTAGGGAATATCGCTACTTTCATACATCGTATGGACCTATATGAGTATACGTAGACAGATAGAGAAACATAGTTACAGAGCAGACAAAGATCATGGGACTCAACGTTTTTGGGATTTGATGTTTTTAGAAAATAATTTTATTTTTTATACACATATAAAAGTGTGTAAGGAGCCATATAGAGAGAAGAAAAAAAATAAATCATTTATATTTTTATTTGTGTTAAAGAAATAATTTTCTCTTATATAACATGAGAGATATTAAACTCATATTTTTATTGCTGAATAAGCAATTCCTCTCACTTCTAAAAAGAAAAAGAAAAAAGGCAACCATTCGTGCATCAATTCAATTTAATTTTACTTTAAGCCCTCAAAATGTGTTGTAAAGTCTTATCCGCCTGACTTAAACTGCGCTTAACAGAACAACTTTTGACATTAACTAACATCATTAGTAAAAGTGAAAAACTTTTTGTCCTTTGTGCCAACAAGGAAAGGACTTGAGTGTGCAAGTGTCCCTCTTTTTATTCGAACTTTGAATTTTGATTCCTACCAAAGAAAAAAAAAGATGCAAAAGTGTTGAGGGCATGTCTGGGGTAGTGTGCTAACAAAGCCAAAGTCATTGTAGGAGCTAAGCTTACTGTGTCAAAGTTTCAGGTTACGTGCGTTATGCTCTAACTCTTTCCCAGTTTTGGGTTATTAGGCAAGGGGAATCTCACTAGTTTGATCAATCTGTTCCTCCTCTGAAATCCCCTCCTTAAAAAGTGGAAAGAAAGAGAACCCACCAACCGTGTGAATCAAAGATTTAAAGCAAACTTAGTCAACAATTTCATGCTATTATAATATAGCTCCCTCCTCCTTTCTCTAAGTACTTGGTTGTTCAAGGTTTTTGCACTGGTTTATAGCTAAAAGGTTTTATTATAGGTTCTTGTGGGAGGTGGTTCAGATATCAAAGGTTCAACTCAGAACCAAAAGCTTGTTCATAAAGGTAAAGAAGCAGAATTGCAAGCAAGATGTGGCAAAGAAGCCACAAGTCTTCAGAGGAGAGGAAACTTGAGCTTAGACTTGGTCCACCTGGTGAAGAGTCTCTCATTGAAAACATTAAAAGAGAAAGAGATGAATCACCACTCCCTCTTGGTTACTTCTCAACTCAGAAAATATCTACTTCTGATTCCACATGCTACCACCGGCATAATCAATACCATGCTAAAGCTAAAGCTTCATCAGTTCTTCAGCTCCCTTCAAGCCCACAGAAAAGGTGCTCCTGCTTTTCTCTCTTGTATCTGCATATTTTGAACATTTTGTATCAGAGAATACTCATTCCCAGAGTCAAGTTTTATGTTGTTGTGTCCATGCAAAGTTATGCGTTTCTACAATATGTTATATGTATGTTATAAACCACTTTCCAGAGTGAGAATTAATAATGAAGCTATTCATTAGTAATTGCAAAACAAATTTTCTGTATATTTTCATAGCCATAGCAATCCTCATCCACAAAACAAAACAAGGGCAATTTTTAGATTTGAAACATTTTTCTCTTCACTGGCTGTTTTTGGTCTATTATATTTCCTTGCTATTTCTGATTGCTGATGCTATCTGTCATTTATTATGTCCCTTCCTCATCTAGTCTTGAAATTTGACATTGGTGTGTCTGGCCTTGTCTATATTTCCTTTCCTCTCTTCCTTCATCTTCCACTGTCTTGTGCTTTTATCTTCTTTGGTCCCTCCTGGTGAAAGGGTATTCTTGCTTGCTTGGTGGGTTCAATAAAATAAATTAAAAGTACTAAATATGAGAAATTGAATGACTATGCTGATATGCTATTTGTCTTCTTTTTAGTGTAGTTGCTTATTATTTTTACTGTTCACTTTTCATGCCTAATTTTCTACATGGACCTATCTGAAACAGAAATGCTCCTGTTCCAGTAGTGGGTTGGCCTCCAATTCGTTCTTTCAGGAAGAACCTTGCAAGTGGAAGCTCTTCTAAGCAGTCTTCTGAGTCCCACCAACAACATCAGCATGTTGTTCCAGACAAGGTTGCTGCTGGTAAAAAACCTATTGACAACTCAGGTAAAAGCATGTTTGTGAAGATCAATATGGATGGAGTTCCCATTGGGAGAAAAGTGGACATCAATGCTTACGATAGCTATGAAAAACTTTCCTCAGCTATTGACGAGCTCTTTAGAGGCCTCCTTGCAGGTAATATTCATGGGCCTTTTAGTTCAATACTTCAATAATTGTGTCACCTGTGCTCAATTTAGTCACATTTGTTTATTCATTTGTTGTTGACATAATTGTTTGAGAGTGGAAATATTTTCCTTCGGTAATGAAAGCTAGTCTTGACAGGTATTATCCTTTTGTTAGCTATACCCTTTGACCAACTAGTATGTTACTAAAATTATGGCAAAATGTGTCCTTGGTTTGGCTATGATATTTCAATATTTAAATCTTGCTCTATTGCAATTGAATATGATAGTCAATCTTTTTCCACCTAACACATTTTTTTTTTAATGTAAAATTTCCAAATGGCCTTTTATACCAATTTGCCTTTATATATATGGCCTTTTATACCAATATGCCTTTATATATATATATATTTGTTTTGCTTCTTAAACTCATTTTCTGATTATAATAATGAAACTTGATGCAGAGATAAATTTATGTCACAATGTCTTCCCCCTCGGATGTTCTACTCAAAGTGATTCCTCTGCTGTTGGAAATCACAAGAAGCAAGAGGGAGAGAAAGCAATTAAGGGTTTATTGGTTGGAAGTGGGGAATATACTCTTGTTTATGAAGATAATGAAGGAGACAAGATGCTTGTTGGGGATGTGCCATGGCAGTAAGCATCTTATCAATGTGCATCTGATGCATTTTTATTTATCTTATTCTATTCAATATTTTATTCCATGATTAGAGTTTGGGGGCTAAAGCCAAAGTAACCTTTGTTCTTAAAACTATTATAGTAACAATTACTACATAAATATAAACTATTCACCTTTTCATGCAATGTCTGTTTCTCACGTGAAAACAATTGTATGACTCTTGAAATACAAATAAGCTAGAAAGAACTATTGCAATTGTCTTTTCCCTATGCTAATTTTTTTTTTTTTTTTAATGATTAAGTTATTGCTAGAAAACTGTATTGGAAGCAATGATTTGTTATTATATGATTCCTTTTTAATGTGTATGCTTGGCAGCATGTTCGCATCAACAGTGAAGAGGCTGCGTGTGTTGAAGAGTTCTGATCTTCCTGCTTTTACCCGTGAGTTGAAGTCTTTGACTTGATAGAGAAGAATTAGGCTGTTTTGGTTGTGATTATTGATTGAAGAAACGTTCTTGTTCTCAGTTGGTAGCAAGCAAAACAAGACACCCCACTTGACCCGGCAATGAGAAATGAAGGATTAGGCTGTTTTTGCTTTACATTTTGGTTCCTTTGTTTGATAAAGAGATCAGGGAATGAAATGTTCAATTTCTAAGTTCTGTGTATGAGTTATCTTGTTTTTGATTTAATTGTTTATGTATTGTAAAAATAGTACAAGGAAGACTCTACGGATGTGTGCATCTATGATTTACTGTTTAGCAGCCATTAACTTGTAATGGCTTGTATTACGAGTCCCTTTTGTAGCTTTGATCATAGGGTTGTTCTTTATCAAAGTCATTTTCTTATGGTCATGGTAAAGTGCGCCCATGATTGGATTTTACCCATTTCACCGTTATTGGCCTATCAAAATTTGGGTTACACGTTTTGATAATGCTAAATCTTTCAATTATCATGTAACCAAGTTTTGAACTTATAATAACATTTTTTTATGAGTCTGCCGAATTTGAAAACTTGTTGAACAATTTATTTCTTGGATTTTTATTTCCGCAATTTAATATGCCTCAATATCAATATCTTCTGCGAGTGAATTTCAATAATCAATGAAGTTCTATCCAAGCAAAATGCAGATGGGGGATTTACTTATTAAGTGGTGCAATTTGGAGCCTTGAAGCACACCTAAGTACTTTATTTATCTAATTTTAAGTGCAAGCCCACGACCATATATGGTCCCTTTAGGATATTTATTTTATGGCATGGAGGATTACACGCTTTATGATATATGAGTAGCTTGTAGCTTAAAAAAAAGAGAATCCAAACAGGCACTAAGTTCCTAGTATAGTTGGACCACGAACTGCACCTACTACATACATTCTGATGGCTATGCTCCTCTACTTGGTTTTTTTTTTTTTGTAAGATCTCTACTTGTCTAGGTGCATTTGTTTAGAATGTGACTTCCACACAATATTTGATATTAGAGAATCATACAACAATTTTGCCACGGCAAGAAGATGTGATTTCTTCTTCTAACACTACCATGGAGAGCGGGGAAAAAACCAAGGTCAAATTAATGTTCTATAAACAAAACTGAAAATCAAATTATCAAAAAATTTCGGTTAGTTTAAGGGAAATAATAGTTTTATTTGTAGGAGACTATTACCTTATGTCATAGACACTTCAACTGTCACTTTTTTTTTTAATTGTGAGTCCCATCATTTTGTGTCTTAGCATAAAATATATTATCTCCTACAACATGAAAATAGACAAGCCCTTAGTTTAATTGGTTAAATTAATGATCTACCATGTTTAACTTCAAACTGAATAATATAATAACAATGATTGAACTGAACAAATTGGCAAGTTCACGGTTTAACCGGTTAGGGAGAAAATGTTAGCTACTAGATCCGACTCAATGGGAGATTGCACCCCAATACCAATGAATATTGGACACAAGGTCCATTAAAGGGTGGTGGGCTCGGCATGGCCCGTTTGCAAATTTCAACGTATTTCATTGCAAGGAAATTTTTGTCTAAAATCAACTTATCTGCACAAATAAATATAAAATTACTTTTAAATTTTAATTAGTAAAAATAGTGATGTATTTTAAGTAAAATTAAAATTAAATATTCTAATTTATATACTTTGCATACAATTCTAAAATAATTTCATCCTAATTACAAATACATTCCCACTTGTGTTTCTTATATTAACTACTCGTATTAGAAATTTGAAGTTTAGCTGATTTTGTAAGTGTATACTAAGATTGTCTGAAAGGAATTTAATTTCGATTAAAGCAAAAGTATGAAATGAAAATACTGTATATATAAGTTAGTGTCAATATCTAACGTCTAGTGTCAATACTGAAAATATCTAACGTTTCTATTGTTGTTAGTGACTTAAGAATATTTGGTCCCAAGTCTCGACCATGTTACAAAATTATCCTGTTAGTGATGCAAGTTCTGGCAATCCCTTGAGAAGTTGGCGCAATAGATTGGGCCGCATTCATGCACATTCTCATGTTATATTGCTTGATTATGTCAATGTCAATACCAAAGTTCTTACAATAATATCAAAATGTCACAATCATAAATATCCTTAGCTCATTTCAATTCAATATCTACTTTGTGTAATTAATATTATTCTTAATTACTATTTATCAACCAACCAACCACCATGACTTGATACGCAATTCTTTTGCCATCATAATTGTGTGTTTTTTCTTGGTAAATAAAAGACCTAAGCCCAAACAAACAAAAGGGAAAATAGACAGAAAGAACACTTAAGGACTACAAATCACCTCACGTGGTCTACAAAGAGAAGCCACATCTGCAAGCAACAAAAAATAAACACCTGGAGGAGGATCCCACCAAACTCTTTTATCAGGCTGCTCTTGATCATCAAGTAAGAAATTGACCAACCAATCAGCAACAGTATTGCCTTCTCGAAATGTATGACGAAAAGAAACTGTCCAATCTTTCTGAATCCAAATCCCTATGCGAGATATCAGAATTGTGTTTTAATAGTTGAACATTTGTGTATCTTTAAAAGTAAATTTTCATGAATTATAATTTCTTATTTAAATATTCCTTGAAATGTAAAATACTTTTATCATTGGTTTATCAGCTTAATATTTTCTTTAAAATATATATATTTTTTAAAATGAAATATTATTATAATAAATCCCATGGAGTATATATAGTGAGTGTGTTTAGTAAATGAGCTTGGTTAGAAGCAATTAATCGAGTCAATCGGTTCTCTTATATTGTCATTGTTGTTAAAATTTCGATTTATCACTATGATTTTATGTTTTTACTTCATCAAAACGATTTTATTAATATTCCAAACACTTTTTACGTTTTTATGATTTTTTACAATTTTTTTACATTATAATTTTATATTTTACGATTTTTTAATCCTCTTCTGATTTTATTTAAGATCTAAATTTTAACAACATTGGTCAGAACATATCCCAAGTGTATAGCTATGCCATTAATATCATAATTAAAACTTACCAAAACCAAAGACCCTCTCTCTAGTAAGGGATACTAAAGATGGCAAACTTTTCACGCAATGGGGATAGACATTTGCAGACAAGATCCTAGTGTTGTGGGGACCTTAGAACAAAAAACAGAAATATGGATGAGGGGTATGGTATTAAATAATAGAATTGCACAACTTAAAAAGAAGCATATTATTATTTACGACAAATCCAGACTGGATGAGGATGACATGGTTACTTACTAACTACAAAATAAAACAATAGCAAACTCCAATGGCTTTTCGCTTAATTTATTATGCTAAGATGTGAATAATGAGTTGGAGTATGATGATGATGTTTGTTCGTACACATGTTCTGGCTTGTGGTTGTGGACAATGATTTAACCCGAATTCACATGCAACCGACGTAAGTGATGGGCCCAAGTTTTTTCTGCTGAAGCTTTGGTTTGGTATTATGTTCCACATATTAGGTTGATTAGGTATAAATTATGAATTTATAATGTTCTTGACACAGGCCTAAGTTTCTATTCCTCGGGAAGCATATTTTAAGAATTCATGAAAACGATTCCCTTTTATGGGAAATTATTTTATGAGGGTATGGAGCATTTATTGCTCTCTCTTTTTTCTTGCGTCTTTCTCGCTTAAATATGGCCATAACCTATTATAAAAATACTAAGGTTATCAGTAAAAGTAAAACTGACCTTGAAACAATTTTTACTATAAGTGCTACTTTTATGTATGTAGACGATATTTCATCAATACATTAGCTATAATAAATTCATTTTTTTCTTCTAAAAACGCAACAGTTATTATATTCTTTTGAACTATTCTTGTAATCAATTTAATCCTTTTAATGATATAAAGTGGAAAAACTTTTAAAGCAAAATATTACTAACTTAACCCTGTTTTTGGAGCGGGCAATCAACCAAGGAATCGAATAGAGAGATTGGTTGCTTGGTGTTGTCCTCCTGTGGATTGGGTTAAGCTTAATGTTGATGGTGCATGTGATGCTAATGGTACTAGGACTGGGTGTGGAGGAGTTTTTCGCGATGCCTCAGGAACTTGGATCGTCGGATTCTGTAAAAATTTAGGCTTAGGTACAGTTTTGCATGCTGAGTTATGGGCTTGCTTGGTTGGTTTGGAGCTAGCTTAGGATAGAGGTTTTAGGCAAGTTTGGGTGCCACCATGATTACCCTGCGGCTAATTTGGTGAATCGTATTCGAAATTTGATGCAGCGAGATTGGCAGATTTATATGTCTCACATTCACCGTGAAGGAAATAGAGTAGCGGACTTTCTAGCCTCTTACTCTTATGGTTTCTCTTAGGTAATCCAGGAATTTGATTGTCCACCGTCAGGTTGTATTGATAGTCTGTATGGTGACACTATAGGTGTTCACTGGTCTAGGCTTTGTGCCTAGTTTCTTTTTGTTGTGTTTTTGTTTTAATTTCCTATTATTTCCAAAAAAAAAGAAGAAGAAGGAATATTAATTTAATAGTATTTTGCATATTCAAAGATCAGACTAATGATAATTTTTTAAATACTTAAATGATGACGCATATATTGTTCATGATTGAAAATAAAAGTTTGGTTTATTAACTATTAAAACTACATCGAAGCACCGGTGCTATATCTTTGTAAAAAGTTAAAATATGTGGCAGTTTTTTGAAGTTATTGATGATCATATATTTTTATTTTAAGCTTCACAATAGATATTAATAGTTTTTTTTTTTTTTTGTATAACGATATTAATAGTTTTCAACATAAGCAAGATTGGAGATTCTATTATCGGTATAAAAATTTAAAAAAATAATCGTAAATTAAAACGTGAAAATAAAAAAATATTAAAAAATAAATATAGTTTTAAAAATACAAAATATTTACAAATTTATCGTATTTTTTTAGTATAAACTATATTTTATCTTTAAATCGACCTTTTAGGTTTTCAAAAGTAATTTTGTTTATTATATTGGTGGTTGAGATCTGTGTGTCCCAATAGATAATAATATAATATTTTACAGTTGTCTTCAGTCCACGTGCGGGCCTCCCCAAGTCCCCGATTTTTATGCCCCCCACACAAATATATCGGTTTTCCATTTCTTTTTACTTTGTGCTTACGTTATTAATCATAATAATAGAAAAAATATTTCTATTTTTCTTGAAAACCCCCCTCCCCAATAGGGGGAAACTGGATTGGATTGGCCTACAGCTCGACCTATGTCAGGCCAGACCTGACCTAATATATTTTGTAAAATAGATCAATTTTAGGTCTTAAAAAACTTGTTTAATAAAAAAGTCGTATGCTCACTTTCAAAAGGTCTGACCTATAAGCCTACATGTCAGCCTATATTACATTATTTATTTTAAATACAATAAAGGAACAAATATTTTTGTAGTTATTGCAGATAAGTTATCTGCATTTTTTCCAAAACGACGTTATTTTAGTATTGAAATCTTAAAAAATTATAAAAATAAAGACTAATATAACCCTGAACTAAATTAAAATCACAAAAATATCATGATTTTCGTCCCAAAACGACGTCGTATTAGGCTTACTGCAGATAACTTATCTGCAGTAACTGCAGAAAAAGCAAACCCTACAATAAAATAGAATAAGTATGACTTGAAGAAAAAATAAAAGATATAAATTTAATCAATTGCAATTATTTATAACTTAATTATATTCGATTATATTTTAATAGAAATATAACTTTATTTCTTATATAGGAGGAACCAACATCTCAACATGTTTGATTGTGTATATGAATATATTAAAAGGTTTTTGGGAGATGTTATACTTACTATAAGCATCATGATGTGTTTGTTGGATTCATGTAGTTATATTTTAATTTACATAGTATGGATTTGTTTATTGGATCTGATGAAATATATGTTATTTAGTTTGAGCATTTTGCTTTTAAAATTGACTTAAATGCATTTACCAATTTTATTTTTTTTACTTAAATGCAGATTGTATGAGTTTTGTTGTGATTCATGATTCTGTTTAGACGTTGAAATTATGATTTTTGGTTTAGCAACATAATTTGAGTATTTTGTAAAGTTGATTCATGATTATGTTTGAAAGTTAAAAATTAACAGGCTAGGTCAGACCATTTTTTTTTTTTTTTTTATAAACGGGTCAAGCCAAACTAACAGTTAGACTCATACTAGGCTTAGGTTAGGCCAAATTGAAATTTTTTGACGTAGACTTTGGTTTTTCGGGGCAAAGCTTGGCCCACTCCAGTCAGTTTCACCCCTATCCCCAATCATATTCGCATAAAAATAATTGTTTCCATCACAAAAATGAATAAGTTAAAGAAAACCATTTATTTATATGAGTATGATAAAAAAATTATGTAACTAAAAAACATCACAATTCCACATTACATTATGTCCGATTATTCTTCCTGCTTTTTAAACACTTGATAGGTTATTGTGCCTACTCCTATTTTACCTACTTTTGCCTACCTCTTTCGTTGCCGTTCGATTACCATCTCATCTAACGATCCATATTTGTGATATAAAATAAACTTTTTTTTCCTTTTCTTTCTTCTCACTTTCTCCCATACCCTTTCTCTCTCCTCTCCTTTCTCTCTTCCTCTACGCCATACCTAATTTTTTTTCCCTTCTGCCGCCGTGGACCTCAATCTCCTGACAAACTGTTCAATTCTAATGATATTTTTAATCTTTATAAATTAATACGATTGAATCGATGACTAACAAAGAAGTTTTGATGTGATTCAAAGCGGTGGTGCCACACAAGGTCGATCTGTTCACAGAATCCTCCTTGTCTCTGCTTCAATATGTCGATCTGTTCTTCCACATGATAGATACTCTTAATTTCTAATAATTAATTGGCTATCCGTATCAACATAATTGCTGGAATGACACCAATTAACCCTCTTTCCGGATTTTTCCAATATCAATTTTTTTTATTCTTTAATTTTTTTTTTTATTTTGAATTTTTTCCAACTCTTCACAGATCTTTTGAATCACATTAAAACTTCTTTGTTAGTCATCGATTCAATCTTATTAATTTATAAAATTTATGTTGTTCTTCAGATCTAAATTTTTTTGTGATTTTTCAATCCATTGACACTGGTAATTTGATAGAAACTGATTCAGAAGGAGAAAATTTATATTACAATAATAAAAACAGAGACTAATGTATATTGACGATGATTTCAAATGCTGTGGTAATTGATTTCAAATGCTTCCGCACCGTTCACCTGGGCAGAGATTAACGATAAAGGGGAAAAAATTAGGTATATGGCAGAGGAAGAGAGAAAGGGGAGGAGAGAGAAAGGGTATGGGAGAAAGTGAGAAGAAAAAAAGGGAAAAAAAGATTTATTTTATATCACAAATATGGATTGTTGGATGAGATTAATCGAACGGTAACGAAAGGAGTAGGCAAAAGTAGGTAAAATAAGAGTAGGCACAATAACCTAACTATTGATTTATGTCAATCTGATGATTTTAATTTATTGGATAACATTTATTAATTATTTATTAATTCTTAGTAAATTGTAACCGTCAAATTGCGAAAAACAATGGTTCAAATTTGATGATAAGAAATGATAAAATTAATTGATAATAAATATAACATTTTTCATATTTTTCATGTTAATTCTTAATAAATTATAATCGTCAAATTGCGAAAATCAATGGTTCAAATTTGATGATAAGAAATAATAAACTTAATTGGTAATAAATATAACATTTTTCATATTTTTCATGTTAGTTTTTAGTCCTTAATTCTTAATTTATTTTAATTAATCTCTCATTTTAATCCATTTCACTCTATCACTGGTGCTGCTGAAAGTCCAGCCCGGTGTTACAGTAAAATTATAAACCTAGAAGCATAGGATCATATCCCCTCTTCTTTGTGTCGGTTTCGGCGAGTCAAAAATAGGGAGGTCAACGGATTCTTACGTTATAATGGGCGAGTCTCCGATTATTTGAGAAGTCCTCGGCGAGTTCTTGGTCACATTGGAGTCTCTTTTTGATTGGACCCACCGCAAAAACTGTCGTTTTTCTTTGCTTATTATTGCCAGCTCTTCGCTGTATGTGCCTTACCTTTTCCGTAACGTAATGTTCAATTCCCATATTATCCTCACACCACACCCAATATATATTCCAAATATATCTATTTTAATTTATTACTAATTCTGCTACATAAAACAAGATTTTTGTTAATAGGCTCTTGTCCTAAAAAGTTAGTTTATTTTATAAGCTAAGATAATTAATTCACCTATTTATATTGTTGGCTCCAATTAATACCTTTAATTACATACATACTTTTACTGATATTTATCATTAATGTGAAAATCTATATTAAATTCTTTGTTACGTAACTTCGTGTCTAATACAAATGTTACTCTAGTTGTAAATAAAAGACATATGAAGATGTCTTGATCCAATAGACGTTTGTATGATTAATAATTAATTTTTTATTGACCCAAGAGCATACCAAGAGGCTAATAAAAGTTTTGAGAAATATCCCACAACATCACATATTATAATACTCATCAATTTTAGTCTATATATATTGGTCATTAAAAAAATGAGACATTGATTTAATTTTTTAATTATAAAAATAATCTCAAAATCATTGGTCTATATAAATTGGCATTTTTTTATAATTAATTTTAAATTAATTCAACAATAATTAATCAGGTAATAAAAGGAATAAATCTAAAATAATAATAAATATAACCATCCAAATTTTAATGGGAAAAAGAATTCATATACCGTAGGAGAATTCTTTCTCCTACTAGTAATTAGTGAGATATAGAATTATATATAACAAATGTTTTTAATAGGTGATGAAAATCCATCAAATCTTATGTTTATAGTAGGAAAAAGAATTCTCCTACAAAAGAAGGAGAATATTATATTTACAAATTTTACAAACTATATTATATCTTAACAACTTCAGTGTATGACTGGTACTTAAGGTAGTTTGTAAGAATTTTTTTACTGGTATTTAATATAATTTGTAAGAATTTTTTTTTTTATCAGTATAACCTTTTAATTGTGATTTACTTGTCTTCTTGCTTAATTTTTACATTAAATTTTAGGATTTTATTTCTCTCATGTTGTTGGAGATAAATATCTTCTATTGTAGATACATGATGCGGTGAGATTTACTATCCATTAAAAAAATAAATAACGATGACATAACTTTTTATATAAAAAAAGCATAAAATAATCAAATCATGTAAAATGAGAAAATAATTTTCCTAAATTTTATATCGTAAGATAAGATGACTTTGCTTCCATAGAACAAAGGGGTGGTTCAGTCAAAAGAGAAAATATCTAGAGAGACATATAGTGTAAGCTCCAGGTGGGTGGTTCTGAAAGTTTTGTATTTGCAGGTCCCTTTCTCTTTTTACTGCTTTCAGGAAGCGGTTTACCAGACTCTGTACAAACACAAATGCTCTGTTTACAGTCTCTTCATTCCTTTCTTCTTCACCCCTTCAACTTCATACCCCCTTAGTACTACTACTACCACCTTTTCTTTTCCCTTAACTTGCTTCCTAAATTTAGCACTTCACAATCATAACCCATTTTTTCACACTTCCCTCTCCTCCTGTTATCTTCCTCAACTTGATTTTTCCATTGTTTTGTTTCTATTTTTTGTCATATCTTTCATCAAACTGTTGAATAGAAAAAACCAAAACAAAAAAACAAGTTCTTTTAAGTTAGAGCTTGCAACTCTGCATCAAAATCTTATGATTTTGGTTTCTAGTTTTTGCTGAGTCTGGATTTTTTTTTTTTGATTTTTATCAGCTGAATGTGTAATGGGTGTTACCATTTTCCTTCAAAGTTAGATCAAGTTGCTTCCTTTATTTTGCTTCTTTTTTCCACTATAGCTTACTCTCTTTGGATCAAGCTCGCTCTTTTCCATCCCTTGAGTTCACAGTGGTTACAGTTCCACTCTTTTTCTTTGACCCTTTTAGCTCAAAATCCTTGTCGGTTATTTATTTCTAAGCAATGATGACTCTTGAACGAAAACCTCATTGGAAGTTGCTTCACTTTCTTCTCTTTCTGCTTCTTCACCTTCATTGCAGCAGGACCAGTTCTTCTTACCCGATGAATCCCATGAACTGTACTGACACAAGCCGTGTTTGCACTTCATTCATGGCCTATAAGCCTAAACCAAACCAGACATTGGCGGTGATAGAGAGCATGTTTGATGTGTTGCCCGGTGACATCACCGTTGAAGGCAATGACTGGGATTACATATTCATAAGGAAAAACTGTTCTTGTGCTGCTGGTATTGATAAGTACTTGTCTAGCACCACCTTCACTGTGAAATCCAATAAAGGGTTGGTGTATGATATGGTGATGGATGCTTATGATGGGCTTGCTTTCCTTCCCAACACCACCAGGAGAGCAAGGAATGGTGCTGTTGTATCACTGAGGTTGTTTTGTGGCTGCTCCAGTGGACTGTGGAACTATCTGCTGAGTTATGTCATGAGAGATGGGGATAGTGTTGAATCATTGGCAAGTAGGTTCGGGGTTAGTATGGATAGCATTGAGACAGTAAATGGCATCGATGATCCTGATAATGTCACTGTTGGTTCACTTTATTATATACCTCTGAATTCGGGTTAGTCCTTTCTTGCAATATTCTTCAATCCTTTTCTTGGAAGGTGCCTGTGTATATATATTTATGTGTGTGCTTGTATGTTTGAGAGGGATGCTTTGGTTCTGTTCTGTTTTCGTTGATGCTTTAGTTCTATATTGCTTTATGCAGTGGCATGTTGTTCATTTTAGAACAAGTGGATTAAATGTGAGAGTTGGGACTGTTTTTAGTAGAGCAATTTATGAGGGTTCTGTAATTGGGATTTGGGAAAAAGTTACTTACTATAATGCTTTTTGCGCATTCTAGTTTAAAGGGGTTCTTAGATCACTTGAGCAAATAAAAAATAGTTCCCCATGATAAATGGGAATTTCAAAATAGGGCATAAAGCAACTAGCGAATGATATTTGTAAAGATTATATGTACATGTAACAAACTTATTATCGAGTGGAATATTTTTTCATTTAAGTAGTTGGGAATTGGGAAAATCCTTGGTTTGTTATCATTTAATGTGTAGAGAAACTCATGCATGTATAGGAAATACTTCATATGTGCTAGAATTCAAAACAGAGAATTGATTATTTTTTGTGCATCGATCACTTAGACAAGGAACTAGATTGGAGGGATTACTGACTGCATTTAAATTTTTAAATATGAGATTTTTCTTAACACCTTTTTTTTCCCTGAGGACTGTTGCATTCTGTTTCCAACTGAGATAACTTTTAATATTAAATCAACTTGCAAAGCATAGAGTTATCTTTGTGGCAGATTGTTGTTAAGAGTGGTTTATTCTCCATACAAAGTGAAAACTGAAGAATATCCTATCCTATTTTCCATGTTGATGATGTCAGGTCATCTGAGACCTAGAGGAGCTTAAATTAGGGAACATAATGTCTGGGTTATATATTTTGGTTTCTTCACATGTGGGACAAATATGATTGGTTTCTTTGAGGGAAGGGGATTTGTTATATATTCTGTAATGCAGTTTAATTTTGGAAAATATGAATTGGACAGTTCCTGGTGATGAATCCTGACTTCAATTTGAATTATTTCACTGCATTGCAGTTCCTGGTGATCCTTATCCCCTGAACAATGCTACTCCTCCAGCTCCTGTTCCTGCCCCATCTGTTGATAATTCTTCAGGTATTGATCAACATATGCTGTAAAAAGGAAAATCATTTTTCCTTTTCCTCTAGCTTGTGGTTTTTAGTTTGTCGGTCATAACTCATATCTCTAGCTATGCTCAAACTAATAGAGGTTAAATTGTGTTTTGTATTAACCAAAAAAAAAGTTTTCATGCATACAGTCTGTTGTCTTTTGTTTTTTAGTTGAAGCTGATTCTTACTGATTATTTTGAAACATTAAAATTCCGGAGGAAAAATTGTCGTGTTGATGTCTATGCTCAAGTGTAATTCACTTGACTTCTGTAAAGAACCAATTCAACCAAAAACTTAGGCGGTTGCGTAAGACTATATTAATGATTTTATATAACTTTAACACGTCCCCTCATACGAGAGTCCACTGGACTTGAAGGGTGGATAATGTACAGGCCCACCTATCCGTGCTAAGAAACTCCACGATATTGAATTAATTATTAATTAAATAGGGGGCGGTGAGGATTGAATCCGTGACATGAGGTTCTGATATCATGTAAAGAACCAATTCAATCCAAATAATTAGTCTTGTGGAGTTTCTTAGCACAGGTAAGTGGGCCTGTGCATTATCCACTCTTCAAGCCCAATGGGCTTTCGTGTGAGGGGGCGTGTTAGAGATATATAAAACCATTAATATAGCCTTACCCAACATCTTAAACTTTTGGGTTGAATTGGTTCTTTACAATTTCAAATAAAATAAAATTATTTTCATGGCTTCATTGTATAAAGTGAAGCTAAGAGCTTCATGTAACAGCTATGTAGTTTTCTGTGAAGAAGACATTTTGTAGCTATAAATTACAAACGCATTGACAAGTAGTTGTAGGGGTTTTTACTTATTACAAATGATATATATGTAGGCTTGGGTTTTGCTCTGGTAGTAGAGTGGTCTGGAGATGCCACAAGTCTTGTTTAGACTCTTGCTAAGCAATTCAAATGATAGTAAAAATGAGTATAAAGAAAATACTATTATCATGTATTCAAATAAAGGTAACTAATTTTAGCGAGTAGCATTTTGGCAAATTCTGTTTTGAGTTTACTGAATCTTGTCCATTATTCAATGAATTCCAATATTACATGTTATTTGTGTTTCTTGGACTTCTCCTATTTGTGTTTTTTTTTTTTTTTGTTCATATAAATTGTCAACCTAGGTAGAATATTTCTAGTTATTTGTGCAATAATAGAATATGCACTTTTTTTTAATATTCTTTTTTTGTTTTTGACAGGTGATCAAGTCAATCATAATGCTCATGTACCCTATGGTTGGATCATTGGGGGTTTAGGAGCTGGTCTTGTTCTGATAATATTAAGCGTAATTCTCTATGTTTGCCTGAGATCATCAAATTGTTTTGCTGATGCCAGAAGTCATGAAAAAGATGATGAGGGAAAGATCTCTCATAAATTCCATATTCTTCGGAACCCAAGTTTTTTTTGTGGTTCTGGAAGGTACATATGTGGCAAACATGTTGAACAGAAGCAAACAGATGGTGAATCCAGCAATCACACGGTTACGGTTCCCAAAGTTTCAAGTAACTAACCAACTTATTTGATTCTCAAGTTGTATATTGTACTGTACCTATGATTTTAGCTTGAAGGAATCATGTTTTGCATGTTCTGTATTGCGTATGAATATGCATAGTTCCAATGGCAAACAAGAACACACAACACACAATTTTGAGGATTTAGGTTGTGCAGTTCTGTATCAATGCCTGGCAGCTGTAGGTATATGATGTAAGTGGATAGTGGTTCAGGCAGAACATTCCTTGACGTTTTAATGTTATTTTTTTATTTTTTCTCCAGCACTCTCCAAACAATGTTTTGCAGTCTTATTTGTTTGAAGATTCCTTTCAAAAAATCTGATTAAGTTGGAATAGGGGAAAGGGTTTGCCTGCCACTAATGATGGGTTTTTATTGGATTATGTTGAGATATTGATTGATATTGCACTTGATTTTTGGTGGTCATATATTCCGGCCTCCATTATAGTTGAGCATGCATGGATATGTACGTTTTAATTTTCTGTAGGGAATACCTGCAGTTTTTAAAACATTAATATCAGAAAGCTTTACTCATATATCAGGGTATTTTATAACTTGCATTTGTTTTCGTTCTGGCTGTCAAGTTGATAGTGCTTAAATTGCATAGTACTCTTACTCTTACATCATTATGATGCAAATTCAAAGGTAAGATGCATTATGATCAACTTACAACTAACTGTGCCTTATTTTTAAATTTTGAGTATTATTCATGAATATGTATTATCAGTCTGCCTTCCAAAATATATGCAATTCTTTGAGCTTGGATATATAACTATTGGTTTTATTATACATCTCTCTGTACTAATATTAATGATCTGTCCTTTGAAGTTGAAATTTATGCATAATATGACTGAATTTATTATTGCAGCTCTGGGGCCTGATGTATTCGACATGGAGAAGCCTGTAGTTTTTACATATGAAGAGATTTTTTCCTCAACTGATGGTTTCTCTGATCCAAATCTACTCGGGCATGGAACATATGGTTCTGTTTACTATAGCCTCCTCCGGGATCAGGTTTGTGGTTGTATTCTTTTCGTTATAGTATAAAGCAGGTATTTTTCTCATACCATTTCTTATAAGTGCTTAAATTCTTCTAGGAAGTTGCTATTAAAAGAATGACAGCTACAAAAACAAGAGAGTTTATGTCAGAGATGAAAGTTCTGTGCAAGGTTCATCATGCTAATCTGGTAATTTCTCTTTTGATCAAAATAAATGAAATGCTTTGATTTTGGAGCCAATTGCTGGGAACATGTCAAAAGTCTGAGTTGTATTTTTGATTAACTTTGTCAAGGTAGAGTTGATTGGCTATGCAGCTAGTCATGATGAGCTTTTCCTTGTTTATGAATATGCTCAGAAGGGTTCACTCAGAAGCCATTTACATGATCCTCAAAATAAGGGTAAGATTATGCATCTATGCTTTTGTCTGTGGAATATTAATCACTGCTATATGTGTGCACATGGTGCTTATAAATTTATATTGAGATTAAATATGAATGAAATACTTTCTTCAAAGCAATTTTGGAAACTAACTGATTGCAGCATTTTGCCTGTTTATTGTGATGAGATGTACAACTGCAAAATAAGAAAAATCATATTGGGAATTTTTTTCCAACAGGTTTAAAGGGGTTCAAACTCATACTAACATTAATTTTGAGTGCACTCATTTGAAACCTAAAGAGTTTTTGAGACTGTATTTTTCATTATGTTCATCGTGTCCATTGTGTTCCTCACTGTGATTTGATCTTCTGTTGTAATAACACGAGAAAAATGAAAAAGTGAGAGTGGCATTTGTGCCTCCTCATGACCAATTTTTGAACTTGAGGAATATCCTTCTAATTGTTTCCTAAATTTGCTGTCTATATCAGATTATTCCAGCATATAGAGATGGTATTCAGGGTTCATCCAACAAAGTCAGCAGACTACCATTTTTACTACTAGCAACTGATTGTCTTCAATTGTTTGTATTTGCAATATCTTTTGTTTGGGGGCAGTCAGAGACTGTCAAGTGGAGTCAGATTCAAGTCAATTGTTGATGTTACAGCTAGCTGCTATTTTACTGTATACAAATTCTTGTGTGTTGAAATACTTGAATGAAACTTCTAGTGGGGTCAGTACTGAGAGAAACTTCCTATGTTAAGAGTTGAATCAGTGTCAGGACTGCCAAATTTCCATGTTGTATTGCATGAACAAACTATGCATATATAGTTCATGACCATTTTTGGTCTTGCTTACAGGTCATTCCTCGCTTTCTTGGATCATGAGGGTCCAGATTGCGCTTGATGCTGCTCGTGGCCTTGAATACATACATGAGCACACAAAAGCTCATTATGTTCACCGAGATATCAAAACAAGCAACATTTTACTTGATGCTTCCTTTAGAGCAAAGGTAATAACAAATTTATACACTAGTACATCATTTCTAAATGTTTCACATTTGTTGATTGTCATTTGTCACAGATCTTTCTCTGTATCTCTAGATTTCAGATTTTGGGTTAGCAAAACTTGTTGGGAAAACAAATGAGGGAGAAATTTCAACTACTAAAGTTGTTGGTACATATGGATATCTTGCTCCAGAGTAAGTAATATCCACTGACAATTTTTATTTTTAATTTTTTTCAAATTTATTCCTCTTGTATTAAGAAATACTAATTTTCTATTTCTGATATTTTGTAGATACTTGAGTGATGGCCTTGCAACAACCAAAAGTGATGTCTATGCATTTGGTGTTGTCCTTTTTGAGATTATTTCTGGAAAGGAGGCCATTATTCTAACAGAAGGCGCAATGACAAAAAATCCTGATAGACGTTCACTGGCATCCATAGTAAGTTCTGCTTATAAGGCATCATTATGAATAACAGTTCTGCCTTGCTTTTCAGAAAAGATTGTAAGGGCTTGAGTAACTTCGGCAGTCACTTGTGATGATGACCTTATCATATCTGCACTAACGGCACAATATTCAGAATGTCGGTAGGAGTGGAAACAACTTAATCGTATTCTCCAACACGCCTCCCCTCAAAATAAATAAATAAATGAAGTCCTGAGATAGGTCTATTAAGTAAAAATAATGTTGTCACTTAACATATACAATGTAGCATTTTAAATTTACAAATTGCTTGGTATTATGTTATTAATTAATATGTAATAACCTCTAAGATGATCACGCTGAGTTCTTGTAAACAAACACATCGTAGAGGACAGAGACTTATGCTGAATTACATATGAGATATATGGAAATAGATGAATATGGGGGCTTTAAGAATCATAAGTTTGAAGTATTGTCAGATCTATATTCATAAAATCTTTTCAATGGGATTCCCACATTAATACTACATTTGTGCACATGTAAGCCTCAGATCAAATGTGATGAGAATTTATAAAATACTATTTTTTTTTATTTTTTATTTTTTTATGTATTGCATCTTGTATTCAAAACTTGGCTGCAACATATGTACATGCGGTTGTGTTTTAGCATGGCAACTGTTTTCTGGGGTATTGCCTTAACGTTTGTCAAATTGCAGATGTTGGCAGTTCTCAGGAACTCACCTGATTCCATGAGCATGTCAAGCATGATAGATTATATTGATCCAAATATGATGAATCTGTATCCCCATGATTGTGTATTTAAGGTACCTATTTTTCTTATGCCTTTTGGTTTAGGGTATTTTGATCTATTAACCAGTAAATTTTTACACAAGGAATCCATACAACTGTGTAATTTGTCTTATTATAATAATATTAATTATGAAGAAATATTTGACATAATTTATTTTAAAGTGACATCTCAAGGGATAAAAACTTGGATGAGGTTTTACTGTTGTGACTCATTCTTCGTTTGTTCTTTTGATATGTTTGTGTGCATAGATGGCCATGCTGGCAAAGCAATGTGTGGATGATGATCCCATCTTGAGACCTGACATGAAACAAGTTGTGATTTCCCTCTCACAGATTCTCTTGTCTACTGTTGAGTGGGAAGCAACTCTAGCTGGGAATAGCCAGGTATTCAGTGGCCTTGTTCAGGGAAGATAGTTACACACCAACATCTCTTTCATCACTCACTACTTCAACAGGATTCTTTTTTCTGTATCCTGCTTTATACCCCTTTTTTTTTTGTTATGGTTGATGATGATGTATCCATAGTAGCTAATAACTTGTTATGGACCTGGTGGGTCAATATCTATTTTTGGCGATATACTATATGTTGATTTTGTTTAGCTGCAATCCATTATGTAGAAAATTTTGGATGTAATTTAGAGTATGTGAAGACAGAGCTATGGGAAGATTTTATTGCTCTGTGACTTTGTATTGATATAAGTTGTAATTCGACAGTAATTTATGTACTTTTATATTCTTTGATCCCTTGCATTTCTTCTCTTCTAATATTTTCTTTTGAGTTTCATGGAGAGTTATGTTTATGTTAAGGCATGATATGATTATTACTTTATTTTATGGTTTTAACTTTGCTTCTGTGGTAGGAATGTTGCTTGGATTCTTAATAGAACTTGTTGCTGATCTTCTAGACCTTGTGTGTTGAGATAATTGTATGTATAGAACAATTGCAGAACTGCCTCATACCTGCACCCACTGCTTTTTAAGATAACCTGAAAATGAGTTCAAAAACAAATTTGATATAAAAATATTTTCAGTTTTGAACTATTTTATCAATTAAATACTTAATTAAATCAGTAGTGTTTTATTGATTACAGTTTGAAAATTGTTAACTAATTGGGTAGTTAATTATTCTTAAATTGAAAATATTTTTATCAAGAGTTTGTGTAAAAAATTTTAGGGTACACCACTCCAAAAGTTAGCTCAAAGATGGGAGTGCCTAAGGCTTTATAAAGGCGACATTAGTTGCACATACAATCAATGTGAGATTATATATCTCAACACGCCCCCTTACACGAGAGCTCATTGGGTTTGAAGAGTGGACAATGCAACAGGCCCAGCCTACCTGTGCTAAAAAATGCCACAAGAGAAAGTGGGGGGCTGCGAGGCTATACCATATAAAGAACCTTGGATACATCACTTCTAGCTCAAAGGGTGGGAGTGCCTAAGGTCTTATAAACTCCACATTAGTTGCACATACAACTAATGTGGGACTATATATCTCAACAGTTTGCCTCGTAAATAATTCTAAAGTATTACCAACCATACCGTGCTAGAAACACTGAATTTCTGAATAATTTTCAAATATAATTTTTATATATCATCTTAATTGCTATTTTATTACCAACCACAAAAGATCTGTCACGAGACGTTTCATTTATAATGTTAAATTGTTGGTAGATAATTATACTTATGTGGTATAACAATTGCGAAGGTAAGATTTGAAGAAATATTTTAAAAAAAAAAATTGTGGTTTAAAATTTTGTATATAAAAAAAAAAACTATTAAATGCTTTTAGTTTTTTTTTTTTTAAATAATACAAGTCTATTTGATTAAATTAGTTTTTCATTTCATTAATGTCTTTTCACTTCATTTGATAAATATATATTAAAAGATAAAAAAAAAAATAACTTATACATTTTTTTAATGGGACAGGATCCGTTTACAAATTTTTTTTGCAATTATATTAATGTAGGATCGGTTGTACCCTGTGTGATTAATGTAGGACCGATCCTACATAATGTAATTTGTAAACAACAAGATTTGTAAATATAACTTTTACCTTTTTTTAATAGAACTGATAAATAGTTTCTTACTTTCTTTAATGCTTCTTGTGATGGCCCATGGGCTAATCGATTAGTTTACCAAACGGTGCGTTTCAGTTTGTGAACCCGCGTTGATGAAAATTTGAAATACGAGAGACACGAAGAAGGAATTGGGGAATGTATCGAAGTTGAAGAAGATGGATTCTGAGAAGGTTGAAGATGATGACTCCCTTCATCGCATTCACTCCGATCTTTCTTCTCTTCTCCATCAGGTAAGTACCTTTTAATTCTTTTTCAATTCAATTTTTCGTTTTGTTTGTGGAAGAAAATGCTAACATTTTTCACTTTTAATTCATTGTTATTATTATTTTTGTGAAAATTGGGTGGATTAATATTATTAGCTTTATAACCTAACTGAAAATGAAATTTTACTGAAGAAAGGTGTTACGGAATAAACAAACGACATGGGATTCTGTTTATGCAATGAAGTGGAAATTTTTTTTTCTGAAATATCACATTTTTGAATTGATTGATTCAATTTGATTGGCAGATTGATGAGCTTGTTGTGGGAGCGTTTAAACTGAAGAGTGTAAGCAAAGAGGGGAGAAAAGAAATTGAATCTTTCTCACATGTCTTGTCTGACATGCTCTCATCTTTAAAGGTCAAAGCTTTTATCTAACCGCTTTTGCGCTTCATATCTTGTTTTTGGATTAGGTTACTCTAAAGTAGGCTTGTTTGTAGAATGCACAATTAATGGTATAATTACCCTTAATTTAATTTGAAGTACATTATGATCTTCTTAAGGAGGACGAGTCTCCACCAGTGATAAAACTGTTCTTTTGTGACGAAAAAGTTATGTTTTCGAATTTGGAAACTCTTTGCAAATATACAAAGGTAATGTCAGAGCATAGTATAAACCATTTAAAGAGGCCTTCACTTAATAGCTTAAGCTTTTGAGTTGAATTGGTTCTTTATATGGTATCAGAGCCTCGGTGTCACGGGTTTGATCCTTATCGGCCCCCATTTAATTAATATTTAATCAAGTCTTGTTGAGTTTATTAGTACAGGTAGGTGGGCCTGTGCATTGTCCACCCTTCAAGCCCAGTGAGCTTTCGTGTGAGGGAGTATGTTAAAGATATATAAAACCATTAATGTAGCCTTTTTGGGTTGAATTGGTTCTTTAAAGGTAAAATTTTTAAACTGAATGTTTTGTGTTGTTTCTAAATGCAGCCATGGGTGCCCAGATTTCAAACGGCACTTTCCTCACCCTCAGTACATTCTGAAAGTCAGCAGCTTCAGGCTTTGAAAAGTACATCAGTTTCTGATGATGTTGATGGAGATGAAAGCAATGTCTGTGACTGTGACAGTCCTGAACAGGACACGTTGGACTCTTTAGTCTCTCCTTCTCCCCTTGTGTCATGGAGGGCCAACTGTACCATTCAGAGAGGTAGACAAATGTTTATGCTCACACCTCTTCCAATATCAAAGGCATTATCATCCAAACACCAGAAACCATCATATAAATCAGAGTTCAATAAATTGGCGTCCTCCACTAATGCTATTGGGACATCAACCTTTTTTGCCTTATCAAGAGATATGACTGATTTGCTGGACAGTGTTGTAACTGAGCCAACTCCAATTAAGACTGCCCCTTCTGTTGTGAATGAAGAGGAAAATAATGAAGAAAATGGATTAATATCTTCGCCACTTTTACCTAAAAGAGACACCTCCATGCTTGTTATGATGACTCCTTGCTTAAAAATGTCCCCTCCAAAATCTTGTGTTTTGCTTGAACCCATATCTGAAATCTATCATCTAGGTAAGGAGAAGGTTCGCAAGTCCACCCCCTTTCCTGTTGGGATCCATTACAGTGATTCAGAAGATTCTGAATCTCCTAGTAGTGATGCTTCACGGGGTTTGGCATTGAAGTATCCAGAGCTCTTAGGGATAAATCAGGTTTCTAAATCAGGAGTTGGAAAGAAAACAGTAGAAGCATCACCATATTGGCTTACCTCACCTCCTAAAACTTGTATTTTGCTGGGGACACCTGATGAGAAATCATTGGACTTGAAGATAGCTGAGAATGACTCACGTATACAGAGAACTGAGTCCATTCGTAAGCAACAAGTCAGCAAATTGAAAGATGATGTTTCCAAAGACCACACTCAAACTAAAAACTCTTGTAACCAAGGTAGTGCTTAATCTATTTATGTATGCCTTCTAACTTGTTGGGTTAACATAGTTGCATGCTGGCTTCTTGACCGTACTAATATCTTTTAGAATATTTTTTTTTTTTGCACATTTTAAATAAATGCTGTCAATGACCATACGGGAGAATACTCAGAATTATTTATTTATTTTTGCAGGTTTTTTTGTTGGCAACCTATCACATATAGAGAGCACTCCCATGTGGCAGGAGCCTAAAAGCTCGTTTCAAACGGGGAAACGTCCTGGGGAAAATACTTTGAAGAAGGAATTATGGAATAAGTTTGAAGCAGCATCCACTTATGGGTTTCAATCCAAGTTACCCACAGTTCGAGAGGACACTCAGAAAGGGTTTCTTGACCTACTGGAAGAAGCTTCATGTGATGAATAAATTAAAAATATGAAAATGCCAAAGATCTAAGCAAGCAAATAATCTCATTAGATAATTTTGACATGTACATGCTGGTTTATGTTTTAAGATTTGTAGCAAAGATCTCTCTTAACTCCACCCTATAGGGCAAAAGAATTCGTATACTTTTGGGTGAAGCGTTCTAAAAATGTACATTTTGTATTGTCTCATGCTACTCGTCTGTATTACTATTCTTTGGCATCTACTTTGATATTAATAGGATATGCTAGTGTTCCAAGCTCCATTTTCTTTTTGGCAGATATATAAAGCTATTAATATAGTCTTACACAATGTTTAAGTTTTTGAGTTGAATTGATTCTTTACATAGTATTAGAGTCTCCGTGACCAAATGATCACCGCTCTCATTCTCTTAATAAAAAATAATTATTGTAGATTTTCTTATCACATATAATTTGGGTCTTGTCATAGCATTGTCCATTTTTCAAGTCTAATGGACTCTTGTGTGACGGGACTTATTAGAGATATATAAAATCATTAATGTAACTTTACTTCACACAATATCTTAAATTTTTAAATTGAATTGGTTTTTTACGGTCAAATATTCTGCAGTGAGGAAGGTAGGTTGCCACAATGTATTGAGTCATCCTCGAATTTACTCAGGGTTGATGAAAAATCAATGGCATTAATATATTTTGGCTATTTTATACCTTGATATCATATATTTCTTAACGATTAGTTCGTGCAACTGCCTGAATTTGCCATTTTTTGATATATTAATACAAAACGAAATAACAGAGAACAAAAACTCTTGGTTTTTCATTAACTTGGGATTTTTTTGCTGTTGATAAAATAACATAATTTAAAACACTAATATATTATCTCTCTAACTTAGAATGTGCTAGTGTTAACCTCCAAAAAAAAAAGAATGTGCTAGTGTTCGCTTGAGCAATTGAGCGTACAAACACTGGAGTCTTGTAGCTGGTGAAACTCTTTTTATTTTTAAATATTGATCATTTGCACATCTCTCAATAATTATTCATTCAAGGAACTAAACCTTGGCACTTGCATGCTCAGTGCGTTTAGCATCATCACCTTTCTATTTTAAAGCATGTTGGGATCACAATTACATTTCTTCCAATGCCTGACAATGTTTCAGAGGAAAAAAAGGGTTTTCTATTAATATGTCTAATTTTTCGTCTAAAGGCTTTTAAAACCTATAACGAACGGCCACTATTTAATATCATTTGCACCCACCTTATTTTGAAAATTATTTTAAAATGAACTAATGATACATTCACTAGTAGGTTAAAATTACATAAATTCTAAATTAAACGAAATGAATACATTCTTATACCATTATTTTATGTACTTACAAGCAAAGAAATTATTTGGTAGCAATATCATTTCTCTAAAATTAAAATATACTCCTACAGGTGCAACAACCTTTTTTTTTGGTAATGAAATATGATGATTATGTTCCACGTTATCATTCGTTGAAACTTGTGTAAACGGTGCTACCAACAATGATGATATGACTAATCAACTATCACCAATCTTACACACTACGCTCTCTTGTGAAGGAACGGTCGTTTAACCTCCAAAGAGAGGAAAGATAATCGCCTTAGTATTGATTATCCCCCGCCAACAATTATATGACTATAGCAGCACTGGTGCATGGTGAACAACGTCTATTATATAGGCTCGAATCAACAAATTGAGATGCGTAAATAAATGATTTTAGAGATATATATTGCTAATCTAACACTACTTTACACTTACCAACTATTCATTTGAATGTCTACGATAAGAAATACCAATAAAAAATTTCTTTATTTAAGTTAATTCCCACAACGTATTTATGGGAGTCGATCTTTTCTGTCCCAAGTGGTGGAATGATTTCATACGCCAAAAACCAGCTTCTTCCTCATTACACGATGATGGCTTGGCATTCATGAAAGGTCCCAGAAATTTAACAGGCTATCTGTCAGCAAACTCAATTATGGTTTGGGCTCACTCAATGTACTCAAGGGAATAAGGATTTCATTCTTTCAAAACAAGATAGCATCAATAATGCGAGCAAAAAAGAACACATTTGAATCAGAATGCCACAACATTATTGGCAAAGAGAACGGGGTCGAGGGCAATTTCATTGGTGAGCAAAATATGTTCGCTAAAAACACTCTAATCAATGACAGGATTCCATTTAGTCTGACATGCTTTTTACATTTCATTATTTCTCAATTTTTTCTATTTTAATGGTATTGTAAAGAAAATCTATATAATTTAAAAGTTGCCTACAATCTGAAAGTATATGCATTAGGTTAAAATAGACATACAAAAATATGGGATTTGTCATTGGTTATCCTTCATTGAAACACCAAGGCCACCACACAAATTCAGCTATCTGCCGCCAATCCCAACCACCACGTCATTGGACAAATTCGCTTTAAAGCAGCAGTATTTGCATAGAAAAAATCAATCAGACATGTCATCTTCTCCTCCACTAGACTGATAATTGTCCTGGTGCGGTTGCTGTTCGAGATCATCATCCATTTCTAGACGCCTTCTCTTTGAGGAATTGCCCTTTGAAAATATAGGAAATTATTTCATAAATTCAAATGCATTGGCAAGCTTATAGATAAATTCAATGCCATACCTCAGAATCCTTCCGCTCAATTGCAGCAACGCTTGACCTCCGCCTTACGGTCACTCTTGAAGGTGTTGGAAATTGCTCAACCTCATCACCTGATCTTCCCTCTCTAGCCCTCTTTTTTCTTAAAACAAGTTTAGTCGGAAGAGGCTGCATATCAAATTTACAATAAAATTAACACATTGCACTGAGTAACCAAGAAACTACGTGCCAGTACATAAGTTGAGAAAGACACATATTGGTTCCAGGGAATACCAAATAACGTGCTTCTGACTCATCAAACGAAACTAAGAATGTTGTAGGGTCATCTGCATCATCACCCCGAACCTATTAAGATGTAATAACAATTCTCAGAATAGTGTTAAAAAGGGGAGAAATTTTTTAACAGTAACAGGGTCAATGATTAAAAATTTGCTACAGAAATTTAAACCAAATCACAACGTACATCCCAACGATACTCCCGAACCCAAGAATACGTGGTTTCTTCATTTTCATCATATATATCCTTTGATAGCTGCCATCACAAAATTTAGAAAAATCCAGAAGTTAACCACAGAATCATTTACAATAATTACTGTTTCAAACTTTAAATCCACATTTAAATAATGCATACCTCTCCAGGTGTTGGGGCCATGTATGCCAAAAATTTCTCAGGATTATCAGGATCTGAGCTTGTTGCAACATAACTTTTCATAATTGCCTGCAGGGAACAAATGGTTAAATGGATAGGAGTCAGTCACAAACAACATTCAGTAGTCAGCAGCACCATTGATCAACATAGTAACCAAAAAATAGTCACTTCATATATTTCGTAAGTTGTTACTTGCGAATACATACAAAAACCAGAAGACCAGCAATCAAGTAAGAAATTAATGACTAATAATTGTATTGTAGTAATGGGAAGTATAAAACATGAAAAAAATAACAGGTGCAATTAGGCCAATAAGTTTTGTTGCACCACAACGAATTACATAAGCATATATCACTGTCCTATGAAATAAACAAAGGTAAATTGAAATAAACAATGCAATTCCTTTTTATACTATCAAATGTATTATTTTAATGTCTTGCTCAGCATTTCTCCTGCATTTTGAACTTCTAAAAAATGAGCTATCGATTATGAATATATTCATCCTTGCAACATAGCTTACCTTTGATTCATAGGCATCACGAACAGATTTGTCTAACTTAGTGTACATTTCTGAATCAGCTGTAGGAGCATTATCAAATGCGGCAACAACAAACTGATCATCATACCTGCAAAGCAGGACAGCAGAAAACAGCTTAGATAATTTAGAACAAAAATATGAATGTCGTGAGATAGTTCGTATCTTCTAGCATTAAAAGATTAGGCTTTATATACTGCAAACCAGGGTAAGAAATGATTTTACTTATGAAAGGTATACACGGTGCCATACCTATCAAAATCAGGCAGCAATGGCATAACCTCATCAGGATACAAATCTTTGTTGGTTGCATGAACAGGTGATCGCTTAGCTGCTTCAAATGATGCTTCTATTTCCCTGATTTGTCTTTCCCTAAACGAGAGAATTCAATTATATTTAGAAAACATTAATTACTTTTGCATAGTAATTTCTCCTTCTAAAATTGCCTTTAGATGGACAAGCTTGTATATATGTACCTATTGTTACGATTTTCCAAAATGCTGCGGCCTCCCTTCATCTCTCTCAGCTCCTTAGCTTGTTTTTCAGTTAAAGACTACAATAATATGTTCATAAATTATTGCTTGTATTGATAGTATTGCATTGTTATTTTGACATATAAGCCTAATACCTGTTTTGTCGATTCCATGCTTAAAGGAGATATATATTGTGTTTTGACAAGCCAAGCTACACCTTTATCAGTAGGCCTCTCCTTTCTTTTTATGCCATCTTTTTTTATAGGAGTAACCGCTTCATCATCTCGCAACAATTCTTCATCTTCTGGATCAAGAGGTGGTCTGGCACTAGGAGGACTGCGTAAAAGGGTTCATCAGACCTTCTCATGCAGCAAAATTCATTTAACTATTCAAGTTTATTAAAGGAACTGAGGATAATACTTGTAAACACTGAGATCAAGCAGGTCCAGAGGTATCCCAAGATCTGGCTCCACAAAAAGTTTGGGTTTGTACAATTTTTCCAGAGATGTGATTGTATATTTTGCATATCTGGACAATGATAAAAAAATTACCATAAAAAGCACATACAAATACAAGTCAAGTAAACTAAATTTTGAAATCATCGTCAAAATACAAATTTCAATAAAAACCGGTGATCAACGCAACACAACAAGTGCACTACTAAAGATTCAAAATCCACAAACACCAATTCCATCCTCACAAACTCTTGACATCTTAAAGGGATACCATCTAAGACTGAAGATGAGCATTTCCATTTGAAACATAATCTCTTTTACATTCTCTCCAATATCCCCTTGTCTCTATACACCAAACTAGTAAATAGTGCTTGTATCCTCCACCCCCCCCCCCCCCCCACCCCCCCCACAACCCCCCCAAAAAAAAAAAAAAAAAAAAAAAAAACAAAAAAAAAAACCCCCACAAATAATACTACTAATAATAATAAACATATAGGGAATGAATGTATCAAGTGATAGGAGTCTTTAAAATGATAGGTGAAAAAAGCATACCTAACCATTGGATCTTGCATGTTGGTCAAAATGAAAAGACTAACTCATGTGACATTTTAAAGTAGTCACATGATAATCAAATGGTCTTTCATTCTTTAACCGTCATGAAAAATTCAAAGGTCAGAAATCACTTTTCTCACTTTGAATGTGGCATATCTCATCAAATACCAGAATTATACATCCTATCTACAAACGTCATATCATGTATGAATCCATTATACGCCTCCCAGCTCTCTTGTCGAAGCATCAGTTTTCCTCTTTAACTTTCCCACCCTCATGAACATTTATCACTCACAACCACAACGAAGGAAAAACTCTACAGTTATTAGTAGGGCAAACAATAGCATAAAATCCGAAAATCAATACTACCCTATCAAATGAAAGGAAAGTTTTGGTAGCTGCATACTAAAGTAAATGTGAGAATAAGATTACATACTGATCCTTATCTTTCTTGAACGCCATAAGCTTAGGTTGTGCACTTGGATCCGGAAGTTCATTTCGGAATCTTAAATGAGAATACACATAAAAATGTGTCAGTATCGGAAGTAAACAGTACAAAACCACCAGACGAAACTATACATCAACCATAAATAACAAAATTTCATTTACCAGCCTTAGGGATCATTACTAACACTGATAAAACGTGAATTTAATTGAAAAAACATAAGGTAAGAGAGCTTAAAGAAAATAAATTATACGTAATCTTGAAACCAAAATATCCATTCAGAAGAACAAATTCTGCAGCATACAGAAAAACAATGACTGCTAAGGAAAATGTAAAAACCAAAAAATGATCTAAAAAATACTCACTTGAGCTTACACAAAAACGTTGTGGGCTTTTTCAACCTATTTTCAATCCTCTCACCGCTCAATAAGGGAGTAGGTCTCCTTTCTCCCATTCGAGAACCTGCAATTGAACCATGCCCCTTCCCAGATGATAACATCTGAGTCTTTTGCAGAACAGTGTTCTGGGATTCCTTAAGCTGCTGCCTATGCTTTTCTTCTTGCCTTTGTTTCTCAAACTCTCTCTTTTTTCTCAACCTCTTTTCTTCCTCAGTCTCAACCCTCCCATGATTGGGAGGAGGAACAACAGCAGAAGGCTTGTGCTGTCTATGATTGGAATGCTCGAATTCGCGCCTACCAGACGTGGAAGGTTCCTTCAACGGCCCTTTACTACGATCATGCAAACGCCTCTCCTCGTTATTGTAGGGAGCTGAAGAAGGTGGTGGTGAACTCGGTGGAGGTGGAGGTGGGATAGAAGAACTGGGTGGTGGTGGAGGAGACAAAGGAGGAGGAGGTGGTGGTGGTGGCTGGTGGTTGTACTGATTATTAGAAGGATAATAAACAGGTGGTTGAGGTTGAGGTTGTGGTTGTGGTGGTGGTGGTGGTGGAGGCTGGTATGAAGTTTCCGGCGGCGGCGGCGGAGGAGGTGGTACAGGTGGTGGATATGGATAGTGGTGTGAATTAGGAGGAGGAGCATATCCAGCATGATGATGATTATGATGAGGATGAGGATAATTGGAATTAGGAGGGATTTGAGGGAATGAAGAAGAAGAAGAAGAAGAGGGATCTGCAACTCCAACTCCACCATAACCAACCCAATTGTGATTATACTGATGATGATTCGCACGTTGTTGAGTTCCTGCGATAGGGTTTTGACTCGATTGAGGAGGGAAAGGCCTATAAGACCCCATTTATTCGATCAATCACTAACTCAAACCAATTAACAAAAATCACTAGGGTTTTCTTCTTCTTCTTCAAAAATCAAAAATCAAACTCAACAACAGAGCTAAACCCTAAAATAATAAAAATAAAAAAAACCGAACCGGGTCGGGTGGGTTGCAATTATTCCCAATCAAATTCATGAAAATCGTGCGGCAATAATGCACATCTATGTACCAGTCAGCAAGATTGAAAGAGATGGAAAATTGCAAGAGCCTAATTATAAGCAGAATCAAAATGTAGAAAAGTTCTTAACCCTGACAAGAGAAGAGAAGAGAAGAGAGTGATATACAGAAAGAATAATAGTGACAAGGCCAAAGTACTTCGTGGGATTGCTTTCTAATTCAGCTCGTGCTATATAATATATACAACAGAGGGTTTTGTTTTGGGAAAACTGTTTTTATGGTAAGTATAAGACGAGATATAAAAATAACAATATAAAATCTCCAAATAAAGATACGGAAATTTTTTTATTTTTATTTTTAAAATACATAAAATTCTGTTATTTTAGGTGAGAGTAAGACATAAATTAATATTTTTTATTTAAAATTTAAATTAAAAAAATTCACTTATTTTCTTCACCTATGATTTTTATTGCTTATATCTTTCTCTCACTTAAAATAACATAGTTTTATATCCTAGAACAAACATCAAACCAATAAAGTTTATAAACAATATAGGGGACAATTATATTTACTAGTAATTTATACTTACTACTCTTACTATCTGATTGGTTATCGCTGGATCAATTTAAAATCAACTGTTGAAAAATAACAAAATTTAACTCTCGTTAATTTTAAATTGATTCGACGGTAACCAATCAGGTAATACGAGTAATAGAGCTAAATTGGTAGTAAATAATTTTAAATTTTTTTTGGTAGTAAGTATATCCGTCCCCAACAATATATATATATATATATATATATATATATATATATATATATATATATAAATAGATTATTCTACCTACTTTTTTTATGCCTATTTTACCTTCTACTCTCCAACACCGTTAGATTAGAATTGCAATAATTTTTTAGCATTTATCTCTCTTATGGAGATTCTGATCTAATGGTGTTAGAAAGATATAGGTAAGGTAGACATGAAAAAAATATAGGTAGAATAGTCTATTTATATATATATATATATATATGGACATGATCAATTTACACTAGTATAAGAATTATAAATCTTACACTCAATCTTAATAGTTGATTTTCGTCTATCAAATGACTATAATTAATTAGAATATTTTCATTAATTAATTATTAATCTTCAATAAATTATAATCATCAAATATGCGAAAATCAACTATTAAGATTGAGTGTAAGATTTATTCTTCTTATACTAATGTAAAAAAATATGTCACACACACAAGGGAGATTATATATACATACTAAATAGTTTACAATTCTTACAACCAAATCTTAACCGTTGATTTTTGTTAATTTAATGATTATAATTTATTAGAAATTAATAATTAATTAATAAGTATAATCCAATAAATTATAACCATTAGATTGACAAAAATCATCGATTAATATTCGATTGGAAGAGTTTATAAACTATTTAATTTGTAAATATAATCGTCCTCTATTTATATAAGAGACTAAATCTTATTTTTCATCTCAACTATTGATTTATGTTTATCTAACAATTATAGTTTATTGAGTTATATAGATTAATTAATTATTAATAAATTAAGGTTATTAAATGGACATAAATTAACAGTTGCAATGAGGAGTAATTTTTTTTCCTGTTATATAAAAGTTTAGGTGTGATTACATACCAATATCCTACCAAGGTCAAGACAAATTCCTGAAATTTTTTGAAAGGGATTACAAATTGTCGACCAACAAAATTCTCATATCCGTAACGCAATTCGAACCATGCTCTTGTGGAGTATCAACCTAATCCTTAATCTTATAAGGCAATCTTCCATATATATATATATATATATATAGGTAAAATTATTTCTGCAATCACTTTACGTATAGTAATAACATGTGTATGGTTATGATTCTTCACATTTAATGCTTTCATCCTTTGTATTGTTATGATTTCTCGCATTTAATACTTTCAAGTATATATATGACAAGTATTTAATTGCTGCACGTACAACAGCTGCAGAAATATAAGTCTCATGTATATAAATATATATTACTAATTGTAAGTGTTTGCACTTACGTAAATCTAATTTTTTTTTTAATTATTAAATGTACATTTGATATAAAACTATAATTTAACGTGCTTTCAATTTGGACGTTGACGTCTGCAGACTCGGAATGAGATCCAAGATATTTAAACTTTGGGCTATGCTTTGTTGGGCTAAACAGACTCTTGATCCTTTATATAATTAAGTATTCGGATTTTTATTTTAAGTAAATAGTATTCGATATTTAGAACATTATGCTTATTACATCAAATCCAGCATTAGCTTTGGCTTAGATTACATTATTGTAATCTAAGCTATGGCTGAGCTTCTGGTTCCGAGCTTCAGTCCATAAATAAAAAATAAAAATTTGAAAAGGGTTTGGATGACATTAACACAGTACCTTCTTGAACCGAAATACTATTATATATAACACAATTTATATAAGGGGAATAGTGACACGTACCATTCATTTACAATCCCCACAAAAAAAAAAAATGTTTGCTCCTTTGCTGTAATGCAGGCTTTTTATCAATAAAACAATCTTAATGTTGAACTGAAGATCAAATAAGATAGTAACTTTATCATTACTTCTTATAAAATAGTCCCATCTCCTAATGCTATGCGGATACGGCATTTTCTTTATCAGTTTTCATGTTGCTGATCTTGATTCTATCATTTTTTAATGGGAATTTATTTGATACATTGTCTGATCCATAGTATAGCTCTATTGTAGAAAGAGCGTCCATTGCTTTTGGTTGATTCAGCTGTTTCATGTACACACATATTAACATTCCATCAAGTAAAGGAAAAGTAGCTAGATATAACTTGTTTTTTTTTTAACCCAAAAATTTGTGAATATTTACCTTATATATTAAATATTCAATCAATTTGAATAATGGCCCAACATTTTTCTTTTGTTTTTTTTGTTCCTTTCCATTGAAAGCGTTCCACTGCAAATAATCTTTGCGCTAGACATTTGAATTATTACCAGTGAAAGCTTATTCATCTGTTAGCTAGTTAGTGGAATTAGTCACTTAGTTAATATTCTGTTATTTCGGTTATTTTCATTTTATCTTCCCCGCTCAATGGTTACTGCTTGTAAACATCAGTATATAGCTGATAACTTGTATCAGTAATATCAATTAATGAATTCACTTTTCTGTTCAATCTGAATTCTTCCTATTCTTCTTCTTTACTAAGGGTCGAGTGGTAGTTAAATATAGCAGTCTACCAACAAGACGTCTGTATGCAGAAGGGTCTTCATAAGGATCACCTTGAATTCGTTGTAACTTAACTGAAGGATTAAGGGGAGTAGTAGCAGGTTTGGCAGCTAGAAGTCCAGAATCAGCTAACAATTCCAGAGTGTATTTTCTCTGATTGAGAATTAAACCCTGATGAGAACGAGCCACTTCTAAGCCCAGAAAGAATCGAAGAGGACCCAAATCTTTTATTTTGAATTGGCTGTGAAGTGAGTTGACTGCCATCTGGTAATTTGATGGGGATAGGGTTGATTCTTTTAGGACATAAAAGAAGATCAAAACAATGGGTTATATGGTCAGTTTCCCCTGTATCAAGGATCCATTGAAAACAAGTTTTACCTGGATTAGTCAATGTTGCATTAGTTTGGACAATATTGGATGAATGTGATCCATCGTTTCTTGGATTTTGAATCAGTCCAAGTAAGCTTTGGTATTGATCTTTGGTGAAATGAAAGTTGTCATCATTCTTTCCTTCATCTTCATTCTCTGGTATTGATCTTTGGTATTGATCTGCATACTCAAAAAAATCATTACCTTCATGAGTGGCCATATTGGCTTTTCGATTTATCCTGTTTCTGTAACCTGGTCATTAGTCCCACTTCCTTCCAACAAGAAACCAATTGGATGTAAGTGAGTTTTCAAAATCAAGAGGAAACCTGATGGCTCCGTCGATAGATACAAAGCAAGGCTAGTTGCAAAGGGATACAACCAGTGTGAAGGAATTGACTACTTTCAAACATTTTCTCCAGTAGTAAAAATGACAACAGTCCGCACCCTACTTGCTATTGCTGTAGCTAAAAACTGGCATCTTGAACAATTGGATGTGGATAATGCCTTTCTCCATGGAGACCTACATGAAGATGTTTTTATGACATTGCCACCTGGTACTGCAAGCCCATTTCCCCATGCTGTATGCAAGCTAGAAAAATTCTTATATGGATTAAAGCAAGCAAGTCGCTAGTGGAACGAAAAGCTCACTCAATCCCTTCAATCCTTGGGATACACTCAGTCTATTGTCGATTATTCTCTCTTTATTCGTCATGTTTCTGACTTATTTACAGCACTGCTGATTTATGTAGATGATATAGTGCTTGCTGGCAATGATGCAAATGAAATTCAACGTGTAAAATCTACACTTCACAGCCAATTTAAAATAAAAGATTTGGGTCCTCTTCGATTCTTTCTGGGCTTAGAAGTGGCTCGTTCTCATCAGGGTTTAATTCTCAATCAGAGAAAATACACTCTGGAATTGTTAGCTGATTCTGGACTTCTAGCTGCCAAACCTGCTACTACTCCCCTTAATCCTTCAGTTAAGTTACAACGAATTCAAGGTGATCCTTATGAAGACCCTTCTGCATACAGACGTCTTGTTGGTAGACTGTTATATTTAACTACCACTCGACCCGTTATAACTCATGTTGTCTATCAGCTGAGTCAATTTGTTTCCAATCCTATGTGTGCTCATTTTGCTGCAGCTTGTCATGTACTACGTTATTTGAAGAATTCACCTGGAAAAGGATTGTTGTTTTCTGTCACCAATTCTCTTCAACTTTCTGCATTCACTGACAGCGATTAGGCTTGTTGTCTTGATACAAGAAAATCTGTTACTGGTATATGCATCTTTCTAGGAAATTCCTTAATTTCCTGGCATTCCAAGAAGCAGACAACGGTCTCAAAGTCATCATCATAAGCTGAATATCGAGCCCTTGCCAGTACTACTTGTGAAGTCCAGTAGTTGGCATTCTTATTCAAGGATCTGCATCTTCCTATTTCTCAATCAGTTCCCATTTATTGTGATAATCAAGCTGCTATATACCTAGCACATAACCCCAGCTTCCATGAACGAAGTAAACACATCGAAATTGATTGTCACATCACAAGGGAGAAGATTAACAGTGGTCTTATTCGGTTGCTCCCTATCTCCACTCATCATCAACTAGCAGATGTTTTTACCAAGTCATTACACCCTGCCCCTTTTCGGGATATCATATCCAAGTTTGGGATGATTGATGTTCATCTCCCAACTTGAGGGGGGCTATTACCAGTGAAAGCTTATTCATCTGTTAGTTAGTTAGTGGAATTAGTCAGTTAGTTAATATTCTGTTATTTCGGTTATTTTCATTTTATCTTTCCCACTCAATGGTTACTGCATGTAAACATCAGTATATAGCTGATAACTTGTATCAGTAATATCAATTAATGAATTCACTTTTCTGTTCAAACTGAATTCTTCCTATTCTTCTTCTTTACTAAGATGAATCAATAGTAAGAAAAATAATTAATTTTTGTTGCGACCTGTATGTTCTCATGTACCAAAATGATTGGGAAGATACTTTCATGCATTTTATTTAGGGAAAACATTTTCTCATGTTGTATAAGAATTCAATTCTCATGTTATGACCATTCAATTTGCGTGCAAAGTTTTTCTTCTCTTTTTCTCTTTTTAATAAATGTGAGGTCTACCATTATATGAGTCACAACATGAGAATTCAATTATCATGTAACATGAAAAAATCAAACTCCTTTTATTTAAGTTCTCTTATTTCAAATATTATAAATCAATTCACTCGAATGATTTGACTTGAATGGCAATTAAAAAAGTGTATCGTGACGAGTCCTAGTAATTGTTAAAGCCAAATCATATTTCAAATATTATAAATTAAATTTTAAAATATCTTAATTATGTACAGTTGTACACCACACACACATATATATATATGTATGTATATATATATATATATATAGCATAAAGTGCAAAAGCAAGATTCCTTCATTCGAAAACAAAACTGATATTTGGAAACAAAAAATATCTGAGACGGGCCAACATCACTTTCCTATTCTTGTGGTGAATATATTTTTTATGTTCCAAATTCACCAATTACATTTGCCCTTTTCAGAGGCATATTATTTTCCTTAGGTTTTCATTTGGAATTGGAACGACATGCTCTCTCCAGGGGCCCAGCTTGCCTAACCAACTGCACAAAGGAAAAAAGAAGGAAATTTTGAGTTTAAAACATTTTTTTGCCAAACACAACAAATTTACTATACACACAAACTCCACTTTTTATGTATTCACCTGAAAATAAGCCTCAAGTTTCTTTCTCAGTGCAGCATATTCTTTCTTCATTTGTTGGAAGCTCTTCATGCATCTGCATATTCACACAATAACATTACCATCTTTGTTTAGGAAAATTTACAAGTTGGGTCAGTGAAATATCATTTGTTTTCTTTCTTCATATTGTGCATATAATAAAATGCATTAAGCCTTCAGTTCTATAGCCCTGGCTAGGCTCTTCAATGAAATATTAGTTATTCAACATGATGATACAATATAATGCAGCAGTTGGGAATGCTAATTAAGATAGTTATCATAGGATTATATGAATTAGGAAGCTTGTGTTAAAGATAGATTACCCTTCTGCATTTCCTGCATTGCAATATCCCCTAAACATATTGCACTCTGCTTTCACCTTTTTGGCTCCAATGCTGCAACCCATTATAAAAGAATATTAAAAAAAAAAAGAAAAAAAGAATGAGTTCAAATAATTAGGATTCTTTGTTGTGATAAAGCCAATACAGTATGTACCTAATGATACACTTAAATAAATATTAACAGTTCACTTAATAATAATAATAATAATAATAATTTTTATGATTTTCTTTTGGACTATAATATATTTTACCTTGAGCTGCTTCCTATGAACTGATGCATAAGTGTGTCCAGCTTGTTGAAATCCGGGGGGTTCCTCTCCCTTCTGCAAGCACAAGAATGGACCAATATTATACATTAAAGTAAAAAAGAAAGTCAATAAAATACAAAGAATGATTAAATTAATTAACTAAAAAAAGAAAAAAGAAAAAGTGAAGAAAACACAAAGGAAATGATGAATTTAATTGACTAACAATGCCTGCTCTATGTTCGAGATAAGCCTCGATGAATCACGGTAGTGAAGAGTCACAACTTCCTCTACAAAGTTAGGATTAGCATCATCCTGCAATTCTTCCAATTGGGTAAATTGTTCATCCAGTAATCCCTGCACACAACCAATATATATTCATTAACATTGCATTCATGTATGCTATAGTAACTGCACAAAAATGCCACCATTATCATAAGTAGCAATAAAAGAAGGTTAACGAGTGTTGGGAAATGGAACGAGGGAGCCCAAAACCCTTTGCAAAGGATACATCCATCAATGGGCCAAATGACAAACCATAATAAGTGGGCCGACACCACATCTTAACCCAAAACCTTAAGGCTGCAGGTTTATGGGTCTTTCACACTTATATGGTCATCACTTGGTCTATGTCTAGTCTATGTGGTACTTCTTTACAACTCATACTTGATTATTTTCAACAATGAGATCATACTACATAACACATGAATATAGAGATGTTATGATGAGGGAAGAACCTGATCAAAGAGGGACTGTTTCATTGCAGCAACCTGCCTGTGAGATTGGTTTCTGTCCATTAGAAGAAGATGTGAAGAGAAAAGAAGCAAAGGTAGTTCTTGCAATTGAAGGGTGTGGTGAAAATGCATGAAATGGAGGGGTTTTATAGCAGAGAAAAGATGTCAGGTGTCAAGGAACTAAGAAGTGAAACTTTTTTCATTTTCATCATTAATGGGTGGGGTGGGGCTGGTTGGAAATTCGAATGTTGCATGCATTTTCTTTAGGACATTTTGAGAGTGAAACTTGTGTCAAGGAAAAAGGGACACTTCATGAGCACTATGGGGGAGAGTATCTTCTTGAATGTTATTTGCATATATGAATCCCTTGTAGCTAACAATGATAATAGTGAATTCTAAAATTTAATTTTGTTTAGATGATAAAATAAAATATTTTTAAAGTATAAATATATATATGATTTTAAAATTTTTATAATGTTCTGTACCTAAAATCAATTATTCTTAGTAAAGAGGTTAAAAAGATTTACTTTTCTCAAAATCAATTTTATTTACTGCAAAATCTTAAAAATCCAAAAAAGTAACTAAATAGGTAAAATTACTGTGCGAAATGCGCAATAAAATTGGTCAAGAGAAACATATTCTTTCTTGAAACAATCGGGTGCTTACTTATTATCAAGTGAATAATTACCGGATCGAAGTATAAAGTCACTAATTCAAATTTTACAATAATACTATAAAAATCTTAAATTCTTCTTCTTCTTCTTTTTATAAAAAAAAAGGAATTAGGTACCCTAATAAAATACTTAAAATATAAGAGTAATGACACTTATCTTTTCACAAATCTTTTGCAAACTTTAAGATAAATTCATCTAGAATGTTGAAAAAAGTTACAATAAAACTATAATATTTTTATGACCGCTCGCATGAGAGTTTGTAAGAGATTTATTTGTAGAAATATCATTGCTTGATCATTTAATAAAAAATTTAATCAAAGATGCAACTCAATTAATAAATTAAAATTTCCGAATTTTATAGATTAAAAATTATTTCTGTACAAATATCATTGTTTGATCATTTAATAAAAAATTAAAACAAAAGATGCAACTCAATTAATAAATTAAAATTTCCGAATTTTATTTTAAGTTTATAGATTAAAAATTCACCAAAAGAATCTTACTACAAAGATTAAACTGACGTATAGATAAATATTAATTTCATACTTAAAAGTTATAAATTATTTTCTTAAAAAAGTAACACTTTAATTAGAATCATAGCCGCAAAAAATGGTGGCTGTACGGTACCGTGGAGCCCATCATTTGAGCATCGCATCAATGTTGATAGGAACATTGAAATGACATTATACATGGACGTAGTTGCAGCCTAAATTCATTTAATCCAAGGGGGCGTTTGTTATAAGATTTTTTTTTAGGATTTTCGAGAAATTGAAAGTGGTAATTGTATTTATTCACGTTTTGTGTAAGATTTTTAAAATTTTCTTGAGAATCTGATTTTTTTAGGATTTTATTTTGTGTGTAAATTTTTTTGAAAATACTTTTCAGAAATATCATTCATGGGTGGTATTTTAAGATTTCTATGTTAAGAAAAAATTTAATACAACTAAACATAGAATCAAGAAAATTAACCCAATATTCCTGGGAATATTTTGATCTATCAAATAATTTTTTGGTAACATTTCCAAAAAACTCATTTTCTCATCATATTCTTGAAAATCGTGATTCTCGGATAAAAAAATATTTCTCGCCTACCCAACGCCCCCTTATAAAATTAGAAATGGAAGGTTTATGCATCGGCTTTTATTTTTTAAATTTTATTCATGCGAAATTACTTTCTCATGAGAAAACAATCTCTACTCACATGGAAGAAAATTTTTAATATGATACAGAAATACTATGGTACTTTCACTAAGAAATTAATACTCAGACCAATTTTTTTTCTCTTTCCTCATTGTTTTTCTCTCTTTTTTTCTCTTTCCTCATTGTTTTTCTCTCTTTCTCCAATCTCTGTGTAAGACCCAGCCACTTGAAAGCATCAATGACTGTCCCCACACATTAACACGAGACTTTTCAGCATTCTTTGTCCTCACTCGCAGACTTCCCGGAAAAACTTCCCAGGAGGTCACCCATCCCAGAATTGCTCCAAGTCAAGCACGCTTAACTATGGAGTTCTTCTGTTCCGGGTTACCGAAAAGTAGATGCATCTTGTTAGTATAGGTAGTACTAATTAATTCTTATAAGCTATTCTCAGTTGTGCTGTCCTATACCAGCACAATTTCTGGAATCCCTCTCTTTTCAGTGTCATTTGATTCATTCATGTACCCCTCTCGCTGATAGTACGTTAGCTCTTCCACTAACCATACATTCAATTGTGCGTTAGCTCTTTCACTAACCATACAATCGTCAGCACTCGGGTTGTTACACTCTGTCCCACTAATTTTTTTTTACACCAGTAACATACAAATATTGCTCCATTTCGAATAAGGGAAAACAGACTACATTTTTTTTTACACCAGTAACGCCTTTTATTTTTAGGGTGATGTTATGCTTACTACTTTTTTTTCTTACTACTTGTTACTACCAAATCTTAACCATTGATTTCCGTCAATCTAACGACTATAATTTATTCAAATTAATAATTAATTAATAAGTGTGAGATATTTTTTCATGATTTTGTGAAAGAAAGAGAAAGTAAAAGCCCCTAAAAAATTTAATAATTTCATTTAAATTAACATAAAATTATGTCATTTAAAATATTTTTTCCTTTTTGAATCGTGAAAGTAAGAGATGAATGTCCAAAACTTTCATAACTATACTTAAAAAGCTATTGTCTCTTGTCATCATAATGTCGCATTACGCAAATGCAAACTGTCCGGAAATCTTTAAAAAAAATAAGGATGTAAGACAAGAAAGAATAATTTGAAGTTCTTTCCTTTTTTAATATGAGACATATACCAAATTAGCATATATATGCCGTGTGATCTCAACTAACTTTTGGATATTTTTTTTTTTACCTGCAACAGTATAAAAACCACATATATTTTGAGGACCTATTGTTAGTTTGGTTGGATTATATATAGTTTAAAAATCATATTTTGATTTATTAAAATAATTGTTCATACTTATACATTATTTTGTGATTCAAAATCATATTCACTTTTATATATTAAATTCTAATTCAAAAGAGTAATTAAATCTCTTAACGTATTATATATTTAAAAAAAATAATATTATTCTTAATTATTATTCTCTTTTTTAATTTACTATTTTTTAAGATAATTTTATACATCTTCTTTATAAATTTAAATTTTCAAATATATATTACACGTATTTTCTTTATAATTTCAATTTTGATTTTTTTTAATTCATATTTCTTAATTTTACTTAAATTTTAAAATATCTGTGACATGCGCAAAATACTCGCATATTTGAACCCAATCCAATTATCGTTTATTCAAATATGCAATTGGTTATGTAAAACAATTTGTACATTCCTCGTTAAAATTTAAACTTTGAAGTACGGAAATTATAATCTAAATATTATGAGCTCCTTTCATTCAATATCTGTCGACTGTGGTATGGTAAAGCTAAACAGCCTTTAGTTGATTGGAAGCAAAAGGAATTTAAATTAACAAAATTCCAAGAAAGCGATATTGGGCATCGCATGAAACAAAGAATTTATCCAAAAATGAGAGCCGAAAAGTTTGCTTACGGCCACTAAAACATATAATGTTATAAATAAGACCAGTATCTATGATTTATTTAAAAAAGAGGAGAAATACCTTAGCATTTTTTTCTTAAAAAAAAAAAAAAAAACTTTCAATTTTTGGTAGTTACTTGCCAATATCCAATGTTTAATGGGTTAAACTAATCCTGTTTCGTTTGACTCTCAGAAATTAAATTCACTATCCTTTAAACATGTCAAATCTTAAAATTTAAGTGAGACACCACTAGACAATTAACTTTATGGCAAATACTTTCGCCTTTGTTACTTACTTTTGTTTCCTTCATATTAGTATTACATACATTAGTTAATATGATTTATAGAAGGAATAACTTTCGGGGAAAGAAAAAAAAAAGTGAAGAAAAGTCATTGATTCTATGAAAAGACATTGCTAATGTAAAACCCTTGTTCTTGTCTGACATATTATGCCTTTCCTTAATTATAGAACAATATAATTTATTACACGAGGAAGGTTATATTTACAAATTTTTACAAATTATACTATGTACTCCTAGAAATATACTAGGTTACACTATGTATTCCGAGAGTATATAGTGTAATTTGTAAAAATTTATAGAAAAAATTTGTAAACGAATCATTCCTCTTATTACATATCATGTTCCATGCATGTTAATATTAAGTAACCGAATTAAAATGGAGATGTACAGATACTTTAATGCGATTAATTAGAAATATGTACAGATACTTTAATGAGATTAATTATAATTAGATAATAGAAATTGTATGATTGAGAGAAAGTGGTATGTGTATAAGTTTGTGGAAATAGCCGTTATTCATATCAAAATGAAAAAAAAAAAAAAAAACTTATTACCTAATACTCTTTATCTTACATTTCTTACATGTTGTGAACTGACAAGATCAAAATATAAGTGTATAAAAAATAAAATAAACTCAACTACAATCAAATAATAAAAACTATAAGATGTGATGCAGGAGTCTAGCATCATTCTTCAAGAATGAGCAGCATTGGACATACAATCATTGAGATACAAAAGCTCACCATCTACTCTGGAAAAATGCTTATTCGATGATAGAACATAAAACAATTGTAATATGACAAAATTATGCATGTGCAAGGTAATGTCAATGTCAATGTACGTATGTAGTATTCGTATTTTCACCAGGATTATAGTAACCCTTTTGTCCCCTCAAGTATCTATGAATATTAAACAAATTTTCCAGAAATTTGGTAAATAATTAATGATCATATTAATTATTAATTACAATCAACTCTAAAATAAAATATTAAATATTATTTATATAAAATTACATTGAAAAGTAATTTTTCTTTAACTTATGCTAATTTTAGTTAATCAACAAAGTTTAAAAGTATATATCCAATAAAAAATTGAGTAAAATTATAAATATATTTAGATGAATTTATTTTTTACTTAAATATAACTTCAATTAAAAAAATTATTTGGAATATTATAGTTATAATTTTTTCCTACAATAAAGTATAATTCAAACATGAACTTGTATTAAAAAAATCATACCATAGAATTATAATTTGAAATCATGACCCATGGGAAAGATAACTTGTTTATACGAAAATTTAACGATTTCATACTTAATTATCACTTATATAAATGTATTATTTATAAAGCAAATAATCAATTTAAACTTGTAATCTAATATTAAAATAAACTTTTATATATATATATATAGGGGCATGTTATATTTATAAACTTTTTTGTTTACAAACTCTTACAAATTATATTATGTTCTCCCGGGAGAACATAGTGTAATTTGTAAAAAAAATTCAAAAAAATTTGTAAACGAATCATTTCCCATATATATATATATATATATATCAGAACTTGTATATTTCTGTAAAAAGAAACAGGGTAAAGGGAGTTCTTGAGTATCAACCAATCAAATTCATTAAATCTTCACTATCTTCAGGACACGTGCCACATTGTCTATACTCTATAGTTCCCAATGGAATAAAACACTAATGGTCATTGCACATTAACCAAGTTGAATGCGATGGCAAAGGTGGAAGGCAACATCAAATTTATCACTACTGTCCAATTTAAATATTTGATGTTCTTCTTTCTATTTGTGTCTTAAGTAATCTTTCTTGCTTTGTAGTCCATGCAAGTGCCTCCTAGTTGAGATCGAGAGATCATAGACAAGTGTTACATTAAGGTCAATATAATCAAGCAATGTAGCGGCAAGCCTCAAGGGCTATACATAAATTATTGCAATTGCTTTGTTCTTGAATGTTGTGCATTTTATTTACACACCTAAAATTAACAAAACTTGGACAGAAGAAAACCATGTTATTGTGATAAGATGTGGTGCATAGAGAATAACAAAGAGGGGAATCATTAAGTGACCAAAAGTGGAAAACAATTAAGAGGGAAAAATTCCCAATGATTGAATCAGAATTTTGCAACGCACCATCAATTTCAGGAAAGCAAAATGTTATAAGGAGAAATAAGTATTGGAAAAGAGATTCCTCTGCCACACTGAAGTGAAGAAGAACTAAGGGAGTAGATGATTTACAGTTCAACCCTCTCACTCCCTCTTTGTGCATGAGTGCGCTTCTCTTGTTTCTCACAAGTACACACACTTCCTCCAATAGTATTGTTTCTTTTGCATGTGTGTGGTCACATCTGCTTCTTTGTAAAGAGTTAAAAAGCTTAGTGTTTTGAGTGGGTGGAAAGGGATCAGAATCTGGTTTCTCTGTCATTTTCAAGTCTGGCAAATTGTGCTTTTTTTTTTTTTTTTTTTTTCTTCTCTTATCACTATTTACTATCTTGATAAGGATCCCACCTTGCTGGAAATAAGAAAAAAAGTTTGTGCTGATGTTAGTACTACCACCACACAGAATCATTTCATCAACATAACAAAAAGAAATAAGAAAAGCTCATAAGCAATGCCATTATTTCATTTCCTTAAAACAGGAAACTTATTTTTAAATGCTGTAAACTAAACAAGATAGTAGGTACCAAAAATGAAAGAATGTTTAATTAGTGAGCATGACAAACTAAAGTTAGAATCTTAACACGTCGAAGTGCCTTCACGTCCATCTTTATACCAAACATTGATTGTGTCTACTATTTCCTAAAGGGACATGAACGCAATAAACTTTGGCCCAGATGACATGCCACGTGAAAGAATTATGTAGGACCTTCTCGAACCTTGCCACCTTGAAGCATTGGCAACTCAAGGACCTAAAAATGGTATCCATATTATTTCCTTTCCTCATCAAGAATGTGCTGAGAGGAAAAATCCTATCCTGTGGGCATGGAGAGGTTAACTGAGGTTACTTTCTCAGTGACTTTAGGGTGGTATTCTTATCTGGCAGCATCAATTATGCTCATCTTCTTCAGAACAGAATCCATTTCTTGGAAGATATTGTTGAAAGCAGCTAGCATGCATGCCCACTAAAGACAACTTTTGATCTGTTAGCTAAAATGTTATCCAAATAAAGATAAAATGAACAAGTAAAAAATAGCAACAAAGGATGATAGATAACTGGCAAAACAAAGAATAAAGAAACACTGCCTCAAGTTAGCTGTCAAGAAATATACTCGTACTAACAAATGCAGTTTATCAGCATTTCCAATGGACACACGAGAGAGGTCAGTACAATCATGGATTCATATGCCAGTGTATTGTCATTAATACTTTTTATTATTATTATTTTGAAGATATTTCAATCGGTTCATCGCTTCGCGACTAGTCCTATTCGAGGCGGGTCTTAGGATTAAGGCTTTAAACCCCTCCCAAAGACGATACTGGCAAGAATCGAACATATGTTCTCACTCTCACCTGCTCAGTTTCTTAGTGCCAACTGAGCTACTATCATTTGATTACTTTTAAACTAATTTTGAAAATACAATGCTAGGCAAAATTCGAGATTCATAAATCATAATGAAGCACCCTTCAGTTGATCAAGCTTTGAAAACAATGTTCAATAATAGATTATACAGAATCGTCTAAATTAAAAAGTGCAAGAACACCAAACTACCAGCAGTCAAAGATAAATCACAAATCATTCAAACCCCACAATAGCATTTCTCATCAGATCACCACCTGACAAATGATTGATTATTGACCTTTTGGCTGAATTTTTAAACTAAATCACTTCCCATAAAACTTCGACTTGCAAGGGTGGAGTGAGGAAAATCTTTTTAAGCAACCTTACTCTTTTTGTAATGAGGCTATTCTTGAAGTTGAACCTAAAGGAGAAGTTTTACCCCTATTCTATGGATGGATTGAAAACTTTTTTTTGTTATTAAGGGATTTAAGGTATATATAATGTCTAGTTAGGTGTCCTTTATTTTTCGAGAAAACAATCCAATAAATGCCAAGTTCAACAAACCAAGGTATATATAATGTCTAGTTAGGTGTCCTTTATTTTTCGAGAAAACAATCCAATAAATGCCAAGTTCAACAAACCAAACTCTAAAGGATTAGAACTGTATCAATATATCAAAGTCTTACATTGTCTTTTACTTGAATTCGAAATCCTATATCTCTCGATGTATAATGGATTTATAAGGCCACCACAGTACGACTATTATCAGGCCAATTTCTGTATGTATGCTCTAATTTTTTTTGCAACAACGCAATATAAATTTCGAGAGGATGCAAATCCAATGAGGATGCATGGTGGCTCAAATATTTCAAGGCAACGATGTGCTGAACCAGTTATACTGTTATTATTATTATTATTATTTTTTTTTTTGGGTTAACAAATCATTCCACTAATTAGTAGATTAGTAGGAAATCCTCTACTATAATAATATTTAAAAATAGCTAGTATCTTGATTAACATTAACATACAACCTAATATTCTATTTTCTTTTTTCTTAAATTTGATTTTAATGACAGCAAAAAAGAAAAATGATTTTAAGAATGAATAAGAAGCAATGTAAAATGTGGACTAATATGTGGCTACAGACTATGTTCCCTTTACTCTGGCTGGAGTCCGCTTAACAACACTCAAGCTAAAACTCAGCCAATTGGCTTTGGGATACAAGCCCTCTTTTTTATTTTAACTTTTTCCTGTTTGGACCTTTTTGAAGGCAACATCCAAATCCAATACATGATTCACTGATTCCCATTAACTGGTATGGGACCATGGGAATCCCAAGCAAAGCAAAACGCCTGGGATGGGGAAGTAGCTAGTAGGACATCATGGCTTTCATGTTCTGTTCTGTTCTGTGCAAATTGGTTTTATACATGAAAATGATAAATTGATAATCCCACGTAATATAGCTGATGCAACAGATGGTGGATCGTGCATGATGAGAAAGAAAAAGAAAAAAATGAGCAAGCCAAACAGAAATGGGAGATAGTTATGAGAGTTATGTCACCCTTACATAACTCACATAATACTAATCAATATCATTCCTTTCCTCCTCCTCCTCCTCCTCTATCTCTCCCCTTTTTCTTCATCAAAATCAACTATTTACAATTTCTTATGCGGCATTATGTGAAACTTATATTTTCCTTAAAGAAGTGTTTCTGAATCTCAATCTATAATTACCCAAAAATGTCAAAATAAAAAATTCCAATCTGTGATGGAAGTATGATTAATATGTCATCATAATTGATGAAGATGAGGAGAAACTTGCAGGTGAAGAAGATGCAGCGAATGGAAACAAGGAAAGTCCTGCTAATGAAACTGAAAATATCAAATTGAAGAAGCCACCGGATAAAAATAAAATATGTTCAGAAAAATAATTGCAGGGGAGACCAACAATAATGACATGACAGATTAAATAAGTTAATAAAGATGGCAAAAGGAAGAGAGTGGCATTGATTAGTTCTATGTGGTTATGGAGTGAGAATAGAGAGCATCAATAACACAACTAAGCTTTCCATACACATCTTCACATATTTTATCATCTAATTGAATTGGTCTCACCTAAATTTATAGGCACTTATATTCAGATTTTATAACTATGGCAGTGCTTGAGTTGGCATAATACAGAATGCAGGGCCTGCTGGCTAGTCAACTAATACAACCAAATCTGGAGGAATAGGAACCTTTTAGTCATATTCATTTGATTATTTAAATTTCACATGTTTACATTAACAAAGAATAAATATTTGTCAAGAATTGATCTAACCTGAGCTACATACCCTATAACTTGGTACTACTGCAAGATTAAACAGCATGGATCAGAAAAAAGGAAAAAATCATATATGATATTACAAATAAAAAGATGACCAAAAGAAGGCTCAAACACTGCTATCTTCACCCAAATTAAAAGATCAAACCCGCTTGAATTGCACTGTTCTTGCCATTGTCTATATATCAGAACCTCCAACTGGAGTCTTTGCTTGAAATGCTGACTGCCTTGACGGCTCTCCTAACAAGTTTAAGGAAAGTGGAGAAGGCTCTCTATCACGTACCTGTGTTTCACCAATACTCAGCTGAGACATTCCCACGAGTTCATCAACATTCACAGGTTCCTTGGGAATGACCGGGATTGGCTTGAGGACCCGATGATGCAATGTTTCAGCTCCGTTAACTTCTTCAAAGGAAGCTGCATTTGATGGCCATATGGAAAATGGGAGAGGTAAATAAGTTGGGAAGAATTCAGGAGGCACTGGTATCTCTCCATTTGATCCAATCATAGTTTCATTGGGCTCTTCCACATTTTCTTGAGAAGTAGTTTCCATTGGTTCAAAATCTGACTTGAGAGAGAGATTTAATGAAGGCTGTGATTCTGCGTTACTAGGCTGTGCATTCTCAGAAGGTGGCAATAGTACTTGTTCTTCTGGCACGGAAGGTGGATCTGAAGCCTAATATATAATCAAATAAAGTTAACAGCAGAAAAAAAAAAGGACACGGGAAAAACAATACAACGAACCATAACTCATACTCAATGTCCAGCTATAAATTACAATGGTTCCATTTGCATTCATTAAGATATATAGGTTTCTACAAATGTGTCATATAGAGACACTAAGGTCTGTTTAAAGCAAGAACCAATATCATGCAACATTGCAACCTAACAAAAAATTGAAGGTGCAATATATATGGGGTTTACATTTCTGCACCTACTCTTCGTGCAACAATCAAATACTTGTTATATATATATATATATATAAAAGTATTAAATATGGAGAATCATAACCATACAAAAGATGAAAGAAGAAATCTTACTTCCTATCTCAACCATTGATTTTTGTCTATATAATGGCTGTAATTTATTTAGAATTATTAATTAATTAATTGGTATAATTCAATAAACTATAACCGTTAGATGGACGAAAATCAACGGATGAGACGTGAACTTGCACTGAAATCAAAAAATCCCTCCTTTTATATATATATATATATATATATATATATATATATATATATATATATATATATATATATATATATATATATACTTGCACTGAAATCAAAAAATCCCTCCTTTTATATATATATATATATATATATATATATATATATATATATATATATTTCCCGACAAAGAAGGTGGTTACTATGCTAAAAATAAAGAACATCAATCACATCCATCCCAATTAAATTTGCAAAAAGATATATAAGAAAAATCGCAAGTAATATGGACTCAATGTTTCTATGCTTTCTGTAATGTACATGATATCTATGCAATGTGAGCATGAATCAATTAGATATAATGAATGAAGACCAACCATATCTGGAATCATGTCAAAAAGACTTGAACGTCTCTTTCTTCGGGTAGCGTTACTCTGTCTGATAAAGTATTTCTGGGCATGACTTGCAACTTGAGCAGGGGTCCTTGACACAACAAAATTACGTGCTATTCCACGCCAGTCTCCTTTGCCCAGATTCTGGAGACCAATCAAGAACATTCGATGTTCCTCTTCAGTCCATGGAACACCTAAACCACATTAAAGTACATTATTGAGTAAAAAGAAATTCAATCACCATTCACCATTATCGACAAAAGGAAACCCAACTTGCTTAATGGAACAAGTGTCCAATACATAGAATCTTCGCATTCTTGAAAATCACTGATGAATTTGGACATTAAATGTCGCGAATGCAATCAGAGCTCACAGCTAAATGAATCTTGGTTTTCAGCATTCAACACACACAAACAGAAAGCTAACAGCCAACAGTAATCGTAACAGAAAGCATAACAGAATCTAACAGAAAGCGTAACAGAAAGCTAACAGAAAGCAGAACAGAATGTGTGGTTATGTAACAGAATCAGAATTATTCTGTAATAGAAGGAAAATGAAAAAATGAAAAAAAAAAGTGGTAGTGAAATGCAATGAATACCTTTCTTTCTTAGAGGGGAAGAGGAGGGGTGATCGGACAAGTAGCCGTCGGAGGAGGGGGAAGCGGCGGCGGCGGCGGAGGAGGAGGAGGAGAGGTTGCCCATGCTGGCGCTCTTCTTCATGATGGATCCACCGTCGGTGATGCTCATCCTCACACCGAAAAGCTTGACAGTGCGAGATGGACATGTTCGTGAGTTGTGGCCATTGTTGCTGCAGTTAGAGCATCGCCGAGTCATGGTGCACCGCGCTGGTAATGCTGCCCCCAACTCAGTCACATCATATCATATTACACACTGCATTATCTTGCATGCCATATAATTCTAACTCTACGCATAATAATTAAATCAAATTCTGTGTGTTTATTAATAGCATAAGATAGATAAACCTGGATTTAGAACATAAGCACAGGTTCTATATCAAGAGTTTAATTATTTAAATCTTGTATAGTATCTATCTATCTATTATTTTCATTTCAATTTATTCTACCAAGAGTTTTTATTTTATTTTTGAAATAAGGCGTGTGGAAAAGTGGTGGGGTTGAAGCTACTACACATCACATTAGTTTATTTCTTTACCTAATCCATAAGGAATATTTCCTTCCTACTCATTATATTCCTTGTCTCCTATATCCTTTTTGTTTCTTTTTTTCATCGTTGATGTGATATCTTCTGTTTGGCATGATGAGCTCCTCTTCACATTTTCAATATGATATTCATTTCAGTACACATCAAAATCATAGGAAAATAAGATTAAGTTAATCCAATTTTCAATATGATATTTATGAGAAGGAATATTCTTACTATCAAAAATTTTCACTACTAACTTACTACATATCTAATCACCGTTGGATTAATATTTTCTCTCTTTTCAAAAACTTTTTAACATTCTCTCTCTTTGATCCAACGATGATTAGATGAGTAATAAGTTGATAGTGAAAAATTTAAGTAGTAAAAATATCCCTCCTCGATATTTATGTTGGTCTTTTTCTCGGTCCAACTTCAAAGGTAAATATTTTCTACAATCTAGAATTAGAGCCTATTTGATTGTGTTCTGTTTTTTTTTTTTTTTTTTCAAACTATTTTATAGAATAGTTATGAAAACAAGTGTTTTTTTTATGTTTTTTATTTTATTTTGAAAGTTAAAAACAAAAAACAAAAACAGCTTACACATGTTTTCTAAATTTAATTTTAAAAACAAAAAAAATATTACAATTTTTAAAATATTTTTTAGAAAACAAATTTTACCAAACGAGTTTTTTTATTTTATTTTTCTAAAAATCAAAAAAATAATTTTAAAAACAATTATCAAACGGAGCCTTAATTTTTACATTTTCTTTCACACAAGTATTATTACATTGAGCTAAGGCAACCTTATTCTCATTAACCGGTCATGCAACCTTATTCCATCCTTTCCCAAAAGAGACCATATTGAAGTGCAAATCATAATTCCCTCAAGTCAAAAAATGATCTTGCATGCTTGTTCCAAAGCTCCCAGATTCATATGATGTTTACACTCAGGAGTACGTTACTTCCCACCTGGGAGCATATAAGTTTTCTGCAGCACGTTTCACTTGGTAATACTTTTTTTTTTTCTGTTAGTTGCTCATGACGTGCCCGAAACCCTTAACCATTGATTTAATGAATAAATAAAAAGAAAAAACTATTCTCATGTTACACACCCTTTGTAACTGTGTAGTCTTTTTCTTTTTTCTTTATTTTTTCAGGTGGTGAGACCCATATATTTATCTCTATGACATGAGATAACTTATCTCCTTTAACATGGTGTTAATAACACCCATAAATAAAAGGGATAGAAAGGAAAAGAGAAATGCATAATGGTATACCATTTTTTATGAACGCAAAAGCATTATTTATGCTTGCTGATGCTTTCAAATGCTTCATTTTCTAATTTAAATTGTTGTCACATAAAATTTATAGCAGAATAGAGAATATTTCAAGCTACACTACTGTTCACCTGCCACTAATACCAAGCACCTAATTTCTATCCACCCAAATACAATAACTTACAACAGTTGAAAAGGGACAAAAAATAAAATAAAATAAAATAAAATTGATTTTTATGATAAAAACCCAAAAATATAAAAGTTGAAAAGGGGGCTATTGTCACTTCACCGGTAGCTTCTATAGGCCGGGGTATACATACAGCTCTCAGCAAAGTTCACCAAATCTTTTGGTTGAGGAAGGCGAGTGGCCAGGCCTGAAGGAAAATGTAAACTCAGTTTTATTATAATTCTAAATCATTCCTAATATTTCATGGAGCAAAAAGCATTAAAAACATGAAACTCTAAAGCCTATAGATACCAAAAGGAAAACTAAGGCTCACCAAGTTCATAGGCCTTAGCAGCCACATTGGCAGCTATGTGTGCTGAAATCTTTCTGATGTTGGTGAATGGTGGGTATATGAGACCCTTGTCATAGTCCTCTTGGGTCACCTGTGATGCCAAAGCCTCAGCTGTTCCAAGAAATAGGAATTATAATTTAAATCAGAGGTGTTCCTGACACATATATTATGTCCCAAGCTTAACATTGAAGTAAATGTTTCAATCTGTAATGCACTTACAAGCTGCCAGAAGCAGGTCATCATGTACTCGGATGGTCCCAGACATTATTAAACCAAGACCGAATCCAGGAAAAATGTATGCATTATTGGCCTGATTAATAAATAATACATTCAAATTAGAATTCATTTCATATGACAAATTTTCAACCATTTTTTAAAATTCCATTAAGCTCTTTACCTGGCCAGGCACAAACATTTTTCCATCATATTCAACAGGGGCAAATGGGCTCCCACTAGCAAAAATGGCACGTCCCTGGTAGAAATGAAAATGGATAAGGAACACCAAAAAAATTAAAACTCTTTATTGATCCATTCCAACCACATAATATCAATCTTATTATATAAATAGATAAGTAATAATGTAGCTCAAATTATAATTTGACGACACTAGCTGCATCTTCATATTACCTGGGTCCATGTATAAGCTTCTTCAGCAGTACATTCGGATTGTGATGTTGGGTTGGAAAGAGCAAGAATAATAGGTGTCTACAAGCATTATCATATAATACATAGATTAGCTTAAGTGGACATCAAATTGCACAGTAGGTTGACGAATACATTGACATAGTACCTCATTAATGGAGGCCATACTCTCAACCACTTCTTTAGTAAAAGTGCTCCCTTGTCCTGATGTTCCTATCAACACTGTTGGCTTAATTTGCTGAAAATAAAGCAATGAAATGTAAGAAATTTGATGCTTTGTTCTCTCTGGGTGTGGATGTGTGCAAGTGGGAGAGAGAAAGACAGAGATCTTACATTAACAGCATCTACAAGTTCCTTAACAGGTTCATGTTCATGAGCCCAGGGCTTCTTAAAATGTTGGAGTGATTCTATACGGGAACTCACAATCAAACCCTGGAAAAGTAGGAATAAAAGATTTATCAGAGGACGATGAGAATTCACTCTCTACAGGTAGGAGCTAAATTGGATTCTGTACAACCTTTGAGTCCACCAACCATATATTCTTGCGCACTTCATCCAGTGGGGCATTTGTCTGCACAAACAATAGTAGTTTATTGATAAATGTAAACCATTCATGCAATGTTCACATCATAAATCCCTACCTCCTCCCAAACCAAAACAACTATATCTCTCCCCCATGCACCAAAAAAAAGGAAGAAAAAAGTAATGACTCAAAAGGTAGCTAGTAACCCGTTTTGATATTTCAAGTGCAATGAGTTCAGCTATTCCAGTGCCAGCCTGCAACCACAAACAATACAATTCATCAATAAGGACAAAGACAATCGAATTGTTTGTTGTAAGTGAATGCAAGTGAACAATTCAAAGTGATTTGGTAATGTTAAATACTCTCTTTTTTCCACTTTTTTCTCCGTCGATAAATGATTAAATTCTCCATGAACTAATGAAGAAGGAGACATGATCCTGGAATTGTATGGACTTACCTCTCCAGCACCAAGGAATAAGAACCTATGGTCAGCTAAGCTTCCCCCAACCAACTTCAGAGCTGAAACTAGTCCTGCAAGGACCACTGATGCTGTTCCCTGCAACAAAGTAGATAGAATATAAGAGATAATTATTTGTTTCCAAAGTGCCTAAATTCATTATTTAAGACAGGAATTCCTTACCTGAATATCATCATTAAAAACAAGATGAGTTGACCTATATTTTTCAAGTAGATCAAAAGCATTGTGGTTTGCAAAGTCTTCAAACTAAAAAAAAAAAAAGGCAAAACAGGAAACTTGAGATCAGTAAGTGTTGCACTTGCAGTCCAATAAACCAAGAAATGATGTCTATGCACACTGCTTAGTACCTGAACGAGGATTTTTTCTCCATAGTTTTGCTTCACTGCAGTCATAAATTCATGTAGAAGTTCAGCATATTCCTGGAATAAAGAAAGTTGAAGCAAATTCATTATTATGGAATATTAGATAACCATGATGCCTGAAATTAAAAATGAGGCCTAGTAAAGAAAACGAATCATCAACCTTCCCAGTTGCTCGTCTATGCTTGAGCCCTATATATAATTCATCATTCATCAGCTTCTCATTGTTTGTACCCACATCAATGGTAATAGGCAAGCACTGGAACAATTTCATAAGATAATATTATAGTCTGTGTTAAGAAATTGAAGCCACATTATAAAAAATTTAAAAAAAAAAATTGGAGAGAACTTAGGACGTAGACTAAGTAAACTTCCAAAAATTTAAAGTTACCCATGAAGCTAACTTAGAACACTATAAGACTAAAAGTGTTCAAAGTGTTTTCACTTTTCTTATAAACAACCATAGCAATTACTGCAAATTGTAATGCTGCCCATTGTCACAATGTAGATTTTTTTTTTCCAAGCTCCTGAAAACCAAAAGCAATTATAGGAATCTTTCAAACAGTTTCCCTTCTTTCTTTTTTTTTATTTATTATTTTATCTTATTTGGAGGTGGGGGTTCTGCATTTGGATATGTTGGGGGCTAAAATCTGCAACTCAAATTTCAGTAGCATCTTAAAGCAAAGTAACATATTACAAGTTTGTGACAGGCATAGTAGGCTAAAAATACTTACAGAAGAAGGACGAACTCCTCCAAGTGCAGTGTATAAAGAAAGTTTTCCCACTGGTATTCCCATCCCCTGAGAATATAACATAGGTACCAAAGTAAAGATTACAGTAATAGATATTATGAATATAATTATCATAAATAATACACATGTAGAAGTATAACAGAAATTACCTGACAACCAAGATCCCCAAGACCCAGTATCCGCTCTCCATCAGTTACAACAATGACTTGAATGTTCTTCTCAGGCCAATTCCTTAGTACTTCAAGAATCCTCCCTCTTTAAACCCCACCCAAGAAAAAATAGAACAATAACTTTGAGACATATAATAGACACAGCATATTCAACTAAAAGTGTACAGTATACGGACAAAGAATTCTAGGAGGATAAAGGAGCAACTGAGCTCAGACTTACTTCTCTTTCAAACTTATATAAAGACCCTGAGGATACATGAAGATGCTCCCATATTTCTGGCAAGCTTCACCAACAGTTGGAGTATAGACAACAGGGAGTAACTCCTCAACATGATCAATTAGAAGCTTGTAAAACAGCCTTTCATTTCTCTCCTGAAATGAAAGGGAAATATAGAAAGGTAAGCATTAGAATCCAATCCAATATTTGCAAATCAAATCGTGAATAAAATTTCCCCCAGATATGATTTTATGGTAAAGATGAAATTCCAAGTTCAAAACAAAATCATGAGAAAAACAGTAAAATGTGCAGAAAAGAGCACATTTCGGGAAACAGAAAATTCTTAAAGTGATTTCCTTGGAAAAGCTTTGGAGTCATTATTAACAGCTTATCTTATGTACTTGCAATTCTGTCATACTGCATAGTGCATTCTACGAAAAATTCAGTTCAATACCATAAATAAAATTTATAAAGGAGAAGCAGACCAAAAACACTATTCATTTATTAACTCTCCTTAAAAGTAAGAAAAGGAATTGTTCACAAGGCCACCACCTGAAGATCCATCATTGCCACGTACTTCTGCAATGGAACTTGATACTGGCGTATATGTTGGATCATTTTCTTCACCTGGACAAATGAAGCAGCAATAACAATTACTGGATATAGTGTGACCTCATACTCATACACTATCTAACCCCTTCCAAAAAAATAAATAATAATATATATATAGAGCAAGATCCTTTGATATTGGTGTCAAATTAAAAAATTTGATATCAGATCTTAACCGTTGATTTCGTGGATCTGACGGTTATAACTTATTGAGTCACACTCATTAGTTAATTATTAATTCCGAATAAATTATAACCATTAGATTAACAGAAATCAACAGTTAATATTTGGTGTCAAAGGATCCTATATATATATATATACAGAAAAATATTTCTGCAGTTAATGCAGATAAGTTATCTGCATTCATTTCCAAAATGATGTCGTTTTGGGAGTGAAAGATTAAAAAATTATAATTATAAAGACTATAATAACTCTGAAATAAATTAAAATTACAAAAACACCATGATTTTCGCCCCAAAACGACGTCGTATTGGGCTTACTTTAGATAAATTATATGCAGTAACTGCAGAAAAGCGAACCCATATATATATATATATAAAGAGGGGGGATTTTTTGATCTGGCATAAATACAAGAAGTCTTATATTCAATTTTAGCCATTAATTTATGAATATTTGTCACTTGTAGTTTATTTGAGATTAATAATTAATTAATAGGTGTAACCAATAAAATATAACCGTGAGATGCAAGAGATCAATGGTTAAAATTAAATATAACACTTCTTTTACGGAAGAAAAAAAATCTTCACTCATGTATATATATATATATTATTAATTAATTATTAATTCTCAATAAATAATAAACTTTTACCGAGTGAAATCTTAAGATTTGGTATCAAATTTCGAAATTTGACACGTGTCAAAGATCTTATCTCATATATATATATATATATATATATATATAAATAAAGGAATATGTTATATAGTGAGATGATTAACCTGAGTTTCTTGAGGAATAACTGATGGGGGAAGAAGACCACGCAGGTAGTGAGCGTCTCTCTCTTTTTCATTGAAGGCCAGCCCTTTATTGAAGTGTGGATCTCTCAACAAAGTATACCCACTAAAGAACAAAGCATCACATTCATCACAAGCACAAACATAAGTGTTTGCAAGAAAAGCAAACATAGTTAAATTACAAAAATGGAAGATAGAATCAAATTTACCTAGCAACAGAGACACTCCATGGAGTAAAAAACTGATCCTCCGTGGCCCTATCTTCACCGTAGACATCCTGAACGCCGCCGGCGGAGGTTTGGTTGTCGTCCACATCGGCCACCGTGGAATCGTTACTAACCTCTTTCAGCGATGCCTCATTCTCCATCACAACGCTGCCGTGTTTCCTGGTACTGCTTTTAGCTGAACACAACACCCTCGAAGGACCTGAATTCCTTCTATTTGAACCAGTGAAGTTGCTGCAAGAAGACCACCCAACTATTCCAGAGTTGCACTGTGTAAAATATTCACAAAAAATTGGGAAAAAGAGAATATTTTATCAGTACCCAGGTAAACAATTCAACTCATCTCAGCAAAATTAGAAGAAAGGTTGAATTTTTTTATTTTAGTCTAGTTGTACCAAATTGTTAACAAAAATAAAATAAAATGGAATCGCAGAGTTGTTTTTAATTCTGATTTACCAGCAGGAAATGAAATATGAAGGTGGGAATTTGTGTGTGATTGGTATTGTTGATGCAGAATGTGGATTCAAAAATTTTATACTTACGAGGAAGGTGCATCTAACGGAGGAGATCATGGTGGCGAAACAAATGTGTGACAGAGAGAGAGTTGCGGTTGTATGAAACTATGAATCAGAGGGAGAGAGAAAGAAATGAGAGATGAATGATGACAACTGACAAGAGAGAAAGAGAGAGTCTTTAGGGAAGCTGCCCTTTATTTTCTCCTCTCTCTGTGTCTCTCTCCCTGTCTCCTCCCTCTCTCTCTCTCTCTCTCCGCCTGGTTTCTGAGCTACAACTTGGGAGAGGAGAGAAGATCGTGTGATCATAAATGATATTTATACACTAGTTAAGTTATAATTTTTTCTGATTTTCTTATAAAAAAATATCTTTATAACACTTACGTAAAAGTAAGTGAATTTTATTTTTAAAAAAAAAAATTTAATAATTAATCCAATTGGTGCAGCTCAGTTGGTAACTTGGCGCTGAGTTAGTGGGGTTGGATATGTGTTCGATTCCCGCTGAATGCATTCTTGGGGAGGGGGCTGAACCTTTTGCCATCACTGTTCCCCGCACTCTGGATTAGTCTCATAGCCGGCTCAAAGAGTCGAAGCTCGTGGGGATACCGGAGGGAGCCAACTCGTCTTAAAGAGATAATTAGAGTTGGGTAACTCTAAAAAAAAAAAAATTAATAATTAAATATTTTAACTTTATTCTATTTATTTATAATATTGTTTAAATACACTGGTGATCTGTGCTACTAGGTAACCTTCGAGTAGGAGGTGCGTGTGATGAGACATTGAGATTTACATAGAGTAATGTCTTTTTCGCAGGCTTCACGTAAGAGTAAGCCTCAATCAAGGGATTCTGCAGCTGTCATGAGGTTTGGTTTAAACGCCTATCTGCGTGAATGACAACAACAAAAATGTCCTCATTTTTGGTATTGTCTTGTACCTCAATCTTGTCGTGTACCGTTCTTAAGTGTATGTAACAAGAGTGTAGAGATCGAAGAGCAGCACCTTGCAAATATTATTAATAGATCTTTCAAGGATGATTTTATATATGTTGTGGCTTCTACCCAAAATCTTTTGATGTTGGGAAGATGTTTGACTGTGATTAAGTTTTAATTTGGGGTTAATTTTATAATCAATTCAAAGAATTAAAATTTTGTGAGAATATAAATTAATTTATCTCAAAAAAATAATTACGGCCGGTATAAATAAATAAATAAATAAAAATCTCTTGATGTTGTTTAGAGCCACTAGCTTTTTCGACAGAAAAACTTAATGCCTTTTCAAGAGAGGGCCAATGTCAAACCTGTATATTAAAGACGTGCTTGTGCTTGTGCTTGTGCTTGTGCTTGTGGTGTTTGATTGTTAGTCAAGTGGACTTAAAATCTTGAATTTTTATTGTTGATTTAACATTTTAGAAAATAATATTAAAATTTTATAAGATTTATGAGTAGTTAAATTCTCATTATCTCATTACATTAATTTTAGGATTTAATTTAGGAGTTATTAATATGAATTTTATCATTATTATTAATCATATTTAAACATTCATGGTAACAAATTAACAATTAGTACTTTAAAAGTAAAATCCTTTTTTTTTTTGGTAAAATCCTTTTAATAATTGATTGATAGTATCAAATTTATAATTTTTAACATTAAAAGAGCAAGAAAAAACAATTAAAAAAATGCATAAGTGTAGGTGGTGTCTCCGCTCTTATCATTCTTTGTTATCATCTATGTTGCACCGATACCAACATGAGATATGGGACACGATATGACACTTCGACACATTAATTTTAAAAAATATTAGATTTTGACACATTAGGACACGTTTTGATATTAAATAATATTTTAATTTATGTAATATATATTATATTTAATATTCGATAATTTAATAAAAAATAAAACTAAACTTATAATACCTATCAATTTTGCAAAGAAACATAAGATATAAATATTTACTATTATATTTTAAAATTTAAAATCTATTATACACTCGGGTGAGACTTATTCGATATCCGTTTTTAATTTTTATTATATCTATTTGGTAAAACATCAATCAATTTTTTTATGATATGTAATGAAATTTCAAATATTATAGATGTTGAAACGTGTCAGAGTATCGGAGAGTGTCAGACATGACACGTCAAATTTTTTAAAATGTCGGTGCAATATAGATTTTCACGTCATATGATAACTTTGTGAATTATAATTTCTCGAGAAAAATTATCTCTCTTTACCACTCAATTAGGGGTGTAAATGGGCTTGGCTTTGGCATTTTTGACCCAAGCCCACGTCAAAAAAAAATCAGTCTATCTGGCCTATTAAAGGCTTTATTTGTAAGCCAAGCCCGACCCATTTTTAAAAATAAGAAAGTCTGACATGGCCTACCGGCCTTGTAGGCCTCCCACTGTAGATACTAAGCAAAAAAAATAATTCTATAGAGCAAAGAAAGTTTCATTCATGCATGCACTAGTACTTCTCATAATAAAAAAATAACAAACAAGAAAGAGTCAACATAATACCCCAGCTCTAGAATGTATATCATAGAGGAATAGAGTCAAAGAAATGGAGAAAATAAGAAAAATACAATTATCGGAAGCTGAAATAAAGTCTACAAGAGAATGTCATTTATCTAAAAATCTTTAAACCACCATCAAGACAAGAAAAATAAGAGTATTATTGAAAGATCTTCATCAGTAACATCATAATCCAGCAAGGTACGCATTACTCCTTGGTATTAAGCTGCAACAGCATGTAAAATTTGGAGACATTAGACAAGTTTTCCTTTCATAAAATAAAATAGCACAAAAAGTAAGAGATATTGGTATTTGGTATTTTGCCACATAAAATAAATATTATTTTATTTTAATAAATTAAATAGGCCAGCCTACAAGGTTGTAGGCCGGGCTTGACAAAATTGGCCTATGGCCTATTTGTTAAAAAATTTTTTATAAGTCTATGTTTACTCTATTTTTCTGAAAGGTCGAGTTTGGGCTGGGCTCAATGTAGGCCGGACCGTAGGCTGAGCTGGGCCAGCCTGGCTCATTTACACCTCTACACACAATACAAGGTGTAGGGTTTCAGTGGACCCCATATTTTGTATTGTGTGGGTATGAGAGATAATTTTTCTCTTGTAACTGAATAAAAGTATAACCCTAACTTTATTACATAAATAATAAATGAAATTAACGATTTTTTTGTCACAAGGCAATAACTTTATCTTTTGTAACCCCAATTTTGTGGTTTTAAAATGAAATTAATAATACAAGAGAAAAATAAAATTGTAAAATACTCTTTATTTTTTAATTATAAATCTTAAAACGATGTTGTTTTGAGATTATATGAGATAATTTTATCTCTTATAACGAAGAAACATTTTTTCCTTAAAATTTATTATCGAACCAAATATCTTTATTGTATTTCTACATTTACAAATTTTATTTGTAATTTTTACTCTTTAGAATCATATGGAAATACAAAAAGTACTTCGCAATTACTACAGGTACTAGTTTTGCACAATTATTATGTACAACCTGTAATCTCACCGGAAAAAAAACACGTGTATACAAACATGCGTGCAATTTGAGTTTGTCATTTTGTTCTCAACAATGGAGTGGCAACCTCCAATACCCGGACACGAACATTTTTAGAAAAAGGGCGTGTTCAACACGTGTTCGACACGGACATGTTCCGACACGCGGTCAACATTTTATGACATGTGGTCAACTCTCCGACACGCAGTTAATTTTTTTGAACACGTGATTAATGTTCAGACACGTTTTTTCTTTTAGTCTTAATTTTATTTTATTAAATAAAAAAAATTATTTATAAATCAATTTTTTTCTGTTATGAAATTTGACATGAAAAATTAACAAGGTATGAAAAATTATTTTTGTTTATATTTATGTTATGAAATATGAATATTTGATTGGTTATATGACTTATTATGGAATATTATATCTATTAAATATAAATTATATTATATGGGATAAGATCCGTTTACTTTGCAAATTACACTAAGAGCCTGTTTGGATCCTCTTATTTTTAAGCTAGAAGCTACTTATAAGCTAAAGCTAAAAAAAAAAGCTTAAAAAAATAAGTTAAAAGCTGTTTGGAAATTACATAAAAGTTTTAGCTTAAAAATTACTTAAAATCACATATTTCAAGAAAATTATCTTTCTCTCTATCTTTATCACTCTTCATTTAAAAAAAAAGCACACAATTCAAGAAAAATAGATAAGAGCTTAAAAAAAAGCTCCTCCTAGGAGCTTTTAGTTTTCAGCTTTTTTCTTCATTATAAAAAAAAGAGCTTTTCGTTATAAGAGCTTTTCCCAAAACCTGTTTGGCTTAGCTTATGCTTATAAGTAGCTTCTAGCTTAAAAATAAGAGGATCCAAACAGGCACTAAGTACGATCGGTCGTACACTGCATGATTAAAGTATGACCGGTCGTACTTAGTGTGGTTTGTAAACAAAAAAGTTTGTAAATATAACTTGCCCCATATTATATATATTAAAAATATTATTTAATATCAAAACGTATCCCAACGTGTCGAAATATGTCATTTTTTAGAATTAACGTGTCGGCGTGTTATGGCGTGTCCTATGTCAGTATCCGTGCATCGTAGGTGGCAACAACCTAACATGTTAATATGACTTGAATATAATATGAAACTTTTGTGTTTATATTTAAGAAAAATAGATACAGAAAAAATTAAGTCATATTCATGTTAAAGTTATTTATATTTGTGTCGATATATAATTGATCCATTAAAATTAAATAATCAATTAATTATATATTAATTTTATGTATTCCATTTTTATTTGATAATTTGAATTTATTTATACATTTTTTATTTACTATGTAAACTTAACAAATTGTTCGTGTCGTGTTAGATCATATATTAGTGTCGAATGTTTTGATATAAATTATTTTTTGTGTCATGTTCAAATTGAAAGTATTTATATTTGTATCAAATTTGTGTAAATCGAAACATGATCCGTCCATCCGAAATATCTCGTTATATATTAAACAAATTTATATATCATGAAATTACCCAATTGTCATTACTTCTTGTGAAATATAATGGCTTGTGGTACGAAGTTGTGAGTTTTATTAATTATTATTATTATTATATAAGTGAAAATTAAATACATAACCTAATACAATTTACTAAAATCACTCACATCTTGATCAAATCTAGTGACTTTATTATTATTCTTTATACAATTACATATATCATGGCATTGTGTTGTGAGTCATTGATTGTAAGTT